ACAGAGGGCATCCCCCACCCCCAATTCCCCCAAGTCTGCTGTGGAGAGGCTGAAAATCAAATCCCTACAGTTTTACATATATTTGCTATATGAACTTAAAACCTTATGTTTCCTGTTTGGTATAAAAACATGATAGTAATATTACAAATATAGCTGCCTATTCAACATTGTGCAAAAGGATTTCTGCTCACGCAATAGGATTTGTATTATCCTCCACACACTGTATTCTTGCCCAAGTCCCCCAAATCATCAGTTAATTGGGAAAACAAAAAGAAGGATCTATTCCTATTTTACACTAGTAAATACCAAAGATCAAGGGTTTGTTTTTTTTCACTCTCGGCGGCTTTTAAAACTGTAATTCTATTTCTGTGTCTCCTATATTTTTGTCTGGCACTCATCTTCAAGACTGTTTGACCAAACACTATCAGATCTGCTGATGTCTTTAAATTTACTTTCTCTGAATGGTTCAACTTATAGACTGTATCATCGTTCCACATTTGGCTAAGTGTAGACAAACTTTTACAGCCATCTGTTTATGAATTATGTCTACCATGATGATGGATGATACAACTGATATAGTTGGTGCAGGCTGTGTATTTGTGGATCCCTGCCGTTAATAAACTTTCCCTGTAATCTTTAATTCTGTCCTTTGTTCTGGAAACTTGTACTAAGTTTCTTAAGTCATTCTAACTCATACAGGCGAAAAAACTTTTCCAGAAAAAAACAGTTTTCTTATTGGCCAACATAATAAAAATACAAACAGTAGCGCCATTGTTTTAATTGCAGCTGCTCAAATTCACACAAAAAGCTATTCTTAAAATAGTTGTTGATTTGCTGGTTTGAGATTTTGCTTTAGAGTAATCTACTGGATTATCTGTTTATAATTTGATTTAACAGATATTTTAAATTTGTAACTGGATTTGTATTTTACATTCTAATGTTGTTCTGCAAAAGGGTACACATCAGTGTTATATATCAGCACTTTTACTCTGGAAAATTGCAAAGGCTTTTAACTAAACACTAACAACTATTCCTTTGCTACCATACGACCAATTTAAAAGTTCATACAGAACTTTGCTACAGAAACTTCCAATTATCCAGAACATGCACCACCATTCCAATTTGCCACCTGATTTACAGCTACACAGTGGCTCAAATTCCACCACAAAAAGATGACTCAGAGTGTGCAACACCACTTTTCAAAATGCGAAAATGGCAACTCCTTTTCAGTGCAAAACTTTTATCAACAAAAATACACCTAACCTATATGTAGCCTCCCAAATCTGAACAAACTGTGCATCTTCCCCCAGAAAATATTTGTAATTATTTTTCATAATCTATTTGTCTGGTCAAAATAAGCCTTACAAAATACTCCTGAGTCTCTGCCAATTAAAAATCATTCAACACCTCCATCCTTTAATTCATATCCATACAGCAGAAGTTTTACTGTAGTACATGGCATTATTGACAGGATATTAAAGTTCTACGGCTAGTTTATATTCTGTTTTCACTTTAAATTCTGATTTAGTGAGAGTACAAATTATAATGATCAGCTCTCTGTGGCTACATACAAGGAAGTATCATGTGGGGGATTTTTCAGTGGAAGTTCCCAGCTAACATCAGTCATTAGCTAAACAAGATAGTACTGTACTTCTAAGCTCCTGTTAAGAAAACTTTCTGATAACAAAACAGGGATGGAAGCAGACTAAAAAGGTGTGTTGCCAATGATTTGAATGTTCTGGAAAGCAAAGACTGCTGTTGCTAAAATAGAAGGTATGTACTCTGCATCAAATCCATGTATTAAAAAAGGGTGTGGATTTTATAATTCACTTTACATTTAGGGCCTACTTCCTCTACGTGCTTTGGTGTAAATAATTACAGTTGGGCTACCTGCGATTATTCTGTCCTTTCATAATTTTATAAGCAATAAAAATATTAACTCTGCAATTGGAATTACTGATAAAAACCTGGGACTGTTCTTTAATAACATCTCCCCCCCCCAAATAAAAGCATCACAACTTGTTAAAACAAATCAGAATTCTAAAACGAATACATGTTTTTTTAAACTGTATCTCTGTTCATGAGGATACCAATTCCTTCTCCTAGCTATCTTCCATCTGCAACAGAAATTTTCTCAACTTCTTCCTTTAAATCGAGGCAGCATTTACTAATCCGAAACACACTAATTAATTAATAGATTATTAATTTATGATTTGTCACAGAGTCAGCCAGATGTTCAAACTGGATTTGGCATTTTTGTCTACCTATTGAGTCCTTTCCAAGGACCTGGGATAGGCAAATGTGGATGTTTGATGGTGTTATAGATATCATTGCAGGATGTAAGCTGTTCCAAGGAAAGCTGCCTTGTTGTTGTTGTTGTTGTTGTTGTTGTTGTTGTTGTTCAGCTATTATCATGCTGGGCCCAACAAACTGTAAACATTTTATAATGGTGACTTAGTTTTATCTGTAAGGAAACTGTATTTCAATGTTGACAACATCAGTATAAATGCAGTAGTCTCAGCCCATTAGAAGTAGAAACATTTCTCGTGCTACTCAAATTTGTTTCCTAGAAAACTTCCCAGTATTAAATTATACCCAAGTAAAGATTTAACTTAGTTGTCACCCAAAATAAACATGCTTTGTTTTGCTACATGAAAAACAAGACAGAGTTAGAAAAAAATTAACCTGCATTCACCCCTAATCTTAACTTGGAAATTATGCTTCCCTGAACAGAGGAACCTACCTCTGAGTACCCCTAAAAACCTATGGTAACAAGAGTACCATCCACAAACAGGGAAGTTCTGTGAAAACAGGCAATCAGCTTTTTAAAAATGTATTTTAAATATTGTTACCTTTTGTGCAATGATTCTTCTGGTACTGAAGAAAATCTTAAGAAACATGATTAAGCACATCAAAATAATGCAAGAATAATAAAACAATGGCTGTTAACTAGTTCAGCTATGCCATCATGAGCTCTCAAATGCTGGGGGTAAATAAACAGATTTTCATTTCACAGCAATTGCTATTCAACCATAGCAAAGTTGGCACGTGCTCAATTTCTAAAGCAGAGAGTGTTTCAAAGAAAGAATGATACAATAGAAAAGTTATTTCATGCTGATACAAGTGAATGTCTAAAGCATGTGGAACAACCAGACTGGCTTTTAATTATTACTAGGGGAATAAGCAATATAACCATCTCTACAGAATGAGGTCTCCCACCCATTAATTTGAACAATATCACAAGATTCGCTAATACAATTTTGTGTTTAAGGGAGGGTAACGGTACAAGAAAAGGCTCATCTAGAAGTATCCGGTGTTGGTAAGGGATAAGAATAAATTCTGGCTTTGAAAGTTCTCTCTCTTCTCTAAGCCTAACAGTGTCTAAATTAAAAGTAGATATGCTATTCACATAATCTGCTGGTCGCTTTTTTCCAAAACGGACCTGTTACATAGAGTTCATACATTTTAAAAATTCTTTTTATTTTTCCAGGCTACACTTTAGTGCCTTTAACATTTGTACAATAGCTTGCAATAATATACATAATCATTATATCAATGCATAATTATGTATAATGTGCCAGGCATTGCAGCTTTGTGATAACACACCAAAGTCTTTTCCTTTTTCCTTTTTCCTTTTTTTTTTTTTTTGCAAAATATACATCTACACAACTTTGATAGAGAATAAGAGTTTTTTCTGTGGTAAGATTCTCTTCCTTGTTAAAAATCTTTCCAAAATCTATATATGGTCTTGTTTGTTCTAATGGCATCAACTATAACCTCCTGTTTTCTTCAGTAAAACAGGAGTAATGGTTTTAGATCACAGAAGAGCAGAATTGTTCCACTTTAGGCCGCCATAAGATCTGCCAATCAAGACGGGCTTAATTTTCTCAGGATTCTGTTGCAGCAAACAAGGTAGGCTGCAAACATATATGAAAGTTGAGCAGTTTCCCTTATTTCCAACTGAATCTGTCTGTGATCCATCTGTTTCCCTCCTTCCTGCAAAGGCAGCATTACTAGCTTTTCTGGTTATCAGAGATACACTTATTTTTTTTACATATCTGTTGCAGAAGCCAAATATTTAGCCATCAATATAATAAAATAAAGCTTTATACAAGGCAGTGTCCAAATGTTTAGTCTTTATGTTGCAATTAAAGTATAACAAGTAAGTCACTATCAGCCACCAAACTAGTGTTAATGGAAAATACTGAAAATGTCAATAGTCTTGACTGGTAAATGTTCGCCTATGATGTTCTACATCTGCAGAAATCACTAAATCATAGCCAGCTAAATCTTAACTCTAGTATGATGTACAACCCCTATCCCCGTAAGGTTCAGTATGTTTGATACCAATTTATAGTTCAATAGGAGGTCCAAACCCATAAAACTGAGACAAGGACAGTTGTGCTGGTTTCAAATATTCCAACAACTGTTCCAGGGTAGCAGAAATAACAGAAATCTCTACCCATGGCCTGCTATCTGGTGGTCATCCAGATTTTTGTAGGCCAGATATGATAGGTGGAACAAATAACTGTCAGGGTAAGCAACAACTTCTACATATGCAAGGTTCTAGATGTCCATTATGGTGGGCACTTCCCTGCAGCTTAATTTAGAAATTAGTAACTAGGGTACTGCTTGATTTGCACATTTGGATCACTGCCTCCTGCTATTCTCTGGATATGGAACAGGATTAAGCTGTGCTCTTCCCAACCACTGTATATTAGCTGGAAGATAAAAGTGGCCTCAGTTCAACTAAAATGCTGGACTTTTCCTGAATACAACAACCGATTGTATTGCACACAATAATGTCGTAATGCTGTGCTTTCTTACTGGGTGTTTTTCCGATTGTTTGATATTGCCTAGGGAAAGATTGGGAGGATTTCCGGGTGGTCCCCCGACCTTGTATTCCGAGAGGCCAAAGGGAGAATTACCCGTTTCTCTCACAGGGGAAACAGAGAAGGCAGCCGCAAGGAGGAGCGCAAGGCCGACGACCTTCCTGTTGTCGGCTTCAACCTCTCGCTAGGCGGTGGAGCGACCGGGGCGCAGCAGCAGTAGCAGCAACCCAATTCTCCCGGTGCGGGCGGGCAAACCACGGGCAGAGGCTCTTCCTACCACTTTTGTTTTTCCCTCGCTTCCCGCTCGGGAAACCAGCATTCCCCCCGGCCGTCTCTTCCTCTCCCGGCGGGAAAAGTTCCCCCTGCACCGGGCTGCCCAGCCAGAGGCAAGAAGACGGGCGAGGGAAAGCAGCGAGAAAGAGCCCATTTTGCCCTCTTTCTCCGCCTAGGACAGGCAGAGAAGAGCCCGTCGGGGAACCAGGGAAGCCCGCGGGGAGGGCGGCAAGCAAGGCCGAGATCCACGTCCCTGCCACCCCCGCCGAGCTAGCCCAGCTGCCGAGAGCTGGCAGGGCTTGTACGCGGCGGATCACATGGCGGCGGCTCAGCAGGAAGTTCGCTCTGTTCCTGGGTGGCGCGTCGGAGTTTCGGTCTTGCTCCGAGGCGCTCGGAGCGCGTAGCCGATCACGGTGGGGGCTTCGTAAGTTTCTTCTCGCCTTTTATAAGTCAGAGATCGCCCGCTTAAGCGGCCGAGCCCGCAACTTTTCGCCGACGCTTTTTTCACTGTATCGCTACGCTTTTTTTTCCTCCAAGCCACATTAGCACCCAAGTTCTTTTCCTCTCGGTCCCCCCAAAGTTTCTTTCTCTTTTCCCCACCCCACTTCTTTATACTTCAGCTAGCAATTCTGCTTCCGTTTTTCTTTCCATTTTTAAGCCCTTCCCGGGACTTCTTAGCTTTTGATGGGCAATCTCTTCACACAGGAAAAAAACAAAAAAAACAAAAAAAAATACTTTATCTAGCTGCATTTCGAAAGCTGCCTTCGGACCTCTAACCGGGCGGTTGTAAACAAACAAGCTTTCTTTCTGGTCCGTCTCCCCTAATCCGGGTAGCGAGGAGCGCTCCCGATTTGGTGTGTTGGGCGAAGGAGATGCGGTTTAACCCGCGTCCTGTGTTTTCCTGGCCGGTTTTTGCCATTGTTTGCCAGGGCCTTTTGGGGTCACAACGCCAACAAGGGGTTGTGGATTTCCGCGCGTCCTGTCATTCATAAGATTTTTCTCACAAAGGCGAAAAAGTACCCGGAGGCTGAAGTGGGGGGGGGGGAGAGGCGGCTGGGGTGGCTGCTTTGTCTAAAACCAGTTATACCTGGAGCAAAGAAATCACCGGTTCGTTTCCTCTTATAAGTAACACACAAAACACATTTGGGTGTCTCGTAACCTCCGGGTGTTTACAACCCAATTGCGGAAGGGCCGAGGACCGGAGAAAACTTCCTGTTCCGGAAGCCTTGAACCCCAGACCGTGGAAGTTGTTTTTTGTTTTGGTTTTTAATTGGGAAACTCCGAGAAATTCCAAAGGGCGAGTATTTGGGAAACCAGTCTGCTCTTTCTCCCTAGATTGGATTGCGAACTGGAATAGAAACCCTGAAGGCTGTGAAGTTCTTCCTTCCAGTTTCCCTTAATGAAAAGTTTCCATCTTTGTGGTGTCAAGAGAGGTGGAAATTACACTGCAGAAGCCTTTTCACGATCATCCAGTGAACACTTATTTCCTGAAAGTAACAGAACTAAGTCGAATTAATTGCTTGTTTAGAAGTTAGTGTGGTGTGTGAATCCAGCCATACATTTTGTATCCTATTTATTATGTTCTCTGAGTGCAGTCAATTGTGAGTGGTTTTGGAGAAGCCACAGCTAAACAAACATCATGGTTCTGTTGAAATCAGTGGGAATTATTTTTATTTTAAATCATATGCACCTTTATGAACCTTTAATCATAGGTTTTAACTAAAAGAGCTAGGTTCACATTTCTGTATTCATGTACATTAATTTAGAAGAAAACTCCTTTAAAGTGATGGGAATCCATTTTAGTTAGATTCACGCGAAGAACAGGGTAAAATATGCTCTGATTGCTTTCTGAATATGATATGCAAGTGTAGCTTCCCCCCCCCTTGAATTCAAGAACATTAGTCTGCTCCTCAAGATGAAAATGCTATGCCTTTCCTTCTAAAATCTACAATCAACTGACTTTTTTTTTAATGTACGTATGGTGCCTTCCAGTCAGTAATGATTTCTAGCAACTGTCCTCTAGACAAATCCCCACAGTTTTCATGGCAAGATTTTGGAAGTGGTTTGCCCAACCGCAATCAGATTGATCACATTTTGGGCGCTTGGCAACAGGCCCACATTTATGGCTGTTTGCAGCATCCCTTGGTCATGTGATCATGATTTATGACTTTTTTTGCCAGAAGCAGGCATTTATTTGGTTTCGAACAAAAAAAAATCACAACAAACAATGGGTTTGCCTAAGGACCACCACATTCACTTAACAACCACTGCAAAAAAGGTAATGAAATCAAGTGCAGTTGTGTGGTGATCTAGTTAATGAGCAGCATGACCTACACCGATGTCCATAATTCCAGGCTCAATTACAGTCGTAAATCAAGGATTGCCTATAGAGCCTGACAACTTTAGAAGGTGGGTCTAAGAACAGAGCTGAGTCTGTACATACAAAAGCCACAGGTGGCACAGGTGGCAAGAAAAGATTGCAGCAGATTGTGTTGCAAACCACACCAGTTTATTCATGATGTATATACTGACAAATCCTGAATTATGTTATTTGAAAAAAGTCCATTCCTCTCTCCAAATCTAGAATTAGAAAAAAGATAGGGCTGAAAGGTACTGACAGAACTCAACTATCATTCTCAGCCATAATCAAGGTTGCTTAGTTTCAGTTTAGTATATTATGTGCTTGTTCAGCCACCATTTTTAAGCAAACTAAGCTTTGGGTGATTTTGAACCCCGCCCAATTCAATATCTCGCCTCTGAAAAATGGTCATTGAAAGTATCTGTTTAAACCGTTAAACGACTTAAGCATTTGTCATAATAATGCAGATGCTGAAAACTCCGTAGAGGAGTTAAAAATTTCTGTGAGATTTTTATTCTATCACTTTAACTACTACACTGATGAGTAAAGCGTGTATGAGTGTAAAAACCTGCTTGTATTCTGATGCTAGGATTAAATTCTATCAAAACATGTCAGAATTACTTTCAGCAATGAACAAAAGAGAAGAGCTGTATCTCCTAATTATAATAATTAATTTTATGCAAAATTAAAGAATTTCAGTTAAGTATGATCATCTTAGATATTTTTAAAAGGAAAGTTATCACACACATATATGCATGGTAGAAAATAACATCTTTTTAAGCAAGTTTCTATTTCATAATTCCTGCAAAGAAGATGCAATATAGTATATGGATGTAGAATAAGCTTCAAACTAATTAATACAATCATTGCTCCAATTTCCTTTGGGTACTAGGTAGCCTTTATGATTGTTCCCTTGTATCCCCACAACTGTCTTAGGAACGTCTTCTTCTGAACCTGGCTTTAAAATGGCAGGCTTGGCAGTCACAATTGCAAAAAATGATAGATAGAATGAAGACTAACTCTGATTTCATTCTCATGCATTTCAATGTCCTTGTCATCCTCCAGTCTCTCAATTAACAATTTCATCCTTCAGTCATACAATTTGATAGTTGTTGAGGTTATGTGGCAGTTACATGTTAGGTTTTAGAGGTTTTAGAAGAATAACACAATTCAGGGGGTTTGAGCTCTCTGAGCTAAGAGATTCTGACTTGCTCAGAATCAACTGTGAATTTCATGACTAAATAGAGAATCGGAATCAAGCTCCATGTCCAACAGTTGTAGACTGCTTACATGTATATTGACTAGACTGTTCTTAACTGTGATGTTCAGTTTGTTTGCTTTTCCTACACTGCCATTCTTCTTTCCATACTTCTTTGCATTGGTGTGGGTTTTTTTTTTCTTCTGTCTGGTTTTGCATCTCAATGAGCTACTTGGATATTCAGGTATTATCTTTTCCTCTGGTTCAATGAGCTGGTGAATCCAGTGAAATATTTCTCTCTATTTTGTGTACTTCTCTTTGTTGGTGAGCTTTGGTATGGTACACATTCCTTATATTCTTTGTTATAAATAACAGTATTTGTATTTTTATGTTGTTGACTTGAACAAAAAAAAAAAAGCTACTCCTAAGTAGCTCGGGAGTAGAGATTCTGACAGGACAAATCTTCCATTTCTTTAAAGAAAGAGATAATTTTTTCTTTGCTGGCCAATGGGACAGGTTGTGGAGCTTTTCTTTAAAAGAATACTCATGTTTCAAGGGAAAAAAGGCTGACCCCAGAATGGCAACTCTGCATAGCACATTACAGAATATTCATTTCCTACCAAAAAAAAAAAAAGAAAGAAAGAAACCCTAACAATTAAATTAAAAACATTTTCTAAACATTCTAAACATTTCTCAAGTGAGAATGCTGAAATTTCATTCAATTTCTTTTAGAGTTTTAGAAGTCTTGCTTAATAAAATCATGCAGCATTTAGTGAACTTGCAAGATTTGGGGCAATTTTCTGGGAATGAGATGATCTGTTGATGCTTACGGTCCAAACATGTTCGAAAGCTATGGCAGTATGGAAAAATCCTTCTCCATATTTCTTTTCCAGATGATTGAATCTCTAGTTTATGTTGACTTTGATTTTTGTTGCAAGCAATGTACCTTTCTTGGAATAGTGTATCTCAAAAACGATGAAGTTATTTTTTAAAAAAGAGTATCCTTAAGGATGCTCATAAAATTGTCCTATGATATTAGACAATGTGCTAAAAATGAAATAATGAAAAGCATTATTTTGTAATGCACCCATTACTTTTCTATATGGGTCTTATCTGTCCCTTATAACTGAGACTGGAGGGGGGTGTCCTAGGTTTTCAGTAGCTTGTGGTAAGAATTGCTTCTTTTTATTTCTTCAAGACAACTTGCAATAATTTGCTAAGCAGTGCATAGGTATTTTTAAGATAATTATGAGGCAGCTTCAAAACAGCATTGCATGCATCAATGCACATTAAATAACATACTTTAAGTGGACAGATGTGACCCCAAATAATATTCATTTCATGGCATGAAATATAAAAATCAGCCACTTTTGTTTCTGTTTAAATTACTATTCATACCTTTGAAAGGAATGGGGAAAATGAGGTTAAAAATGATAAATGTTTCACCAGGATCTCACTAAGTCTAATTTGGATTATTATTTTGGAGAACTGTCTTCCACTTCTATTTCTGATGGTCTTACCTATTTAAAAAGCTGCATTGGCACAGTTGTCTAGCATTTTTTTAAAGGAAGCTCCGTGAAACAATAAATTTAGAAAAGAATCCAGTCTTTCAAGAAAGTTTTCCAATCATTCAAGTTAATGCAGTGTAGCTACAATATTTCTATTATTCCCATTATCTGAATACTGTATAGTAATAATTCTTCAGGGGTCAAACAATTACTGATTAAGAGAAGTGAGTTTTTGGATCTGGTACAGAAGGCAGCTTCCTTTTCAATTTTTAATTGTGTTGGATAACTGTTTTGACTCTGCTTCTGATTTTCCTGCATAATGATTTAATTTTAGATGTCTGGAAGTTGAGCAACTGGACTTCTTTGCTTTGTTGCTTATTCGAGTAGCTTCTTCAGTCTTGGGTTAGATAAAACTTGAATAAACAGTGAATTGTTTCAAACCAAAAAGAAGTCCAATTGCCACGACTCAACTTCCAGACAACTCTACCTGGATGACTGAGAATCTTCATTGACTTAGTTTTAGATGGTTTTCAAAGCAACCTTTCTCAACTGGGTATCCTCCAGAGGGATGGGACTTTGATTTCTGCCATTTATAGCTAACATCATCTTTTGCTGATGCCAGATGAGAATTATGGAAATTGAACTCCAACACAACCAGAAATCCTGTTTCGAAAAACTGTTTTAAAGACTTCCACTGCCATCTCACATCTGTTTACTAATCTCTGAGGTCAATGCGGTTAAATCCCAGATAACTTTTCCCCATTTGATTCATTTGTATTGAATTGCAACTGATATGGCATCTAAACCCACCTCCAGCAAAGTTTTAATCCATTACATCATCTCTTGAATGAGAACGAAACGTGTTCAGCGAAAAACAAAGGAAATCCAGTTGCCTTTTGAAAAAGCACTTTTGGGATGCTTTTACAACAGGGATTTTCAAACTTTTACAGGCTATGGAACCAGTTAGTTAAGAAAAAAGAATCCCTGATTAAGAGACAAAGCTCTAATGCCAGAAAATTGAGAATAAAATTATGTTCACTATAACTTATTTATGCAACTTTATGTATTTCATGAAATTGGATGCACCAATTACTGTCCCAGAAAGTCTATCCATTCTTAAGTCAATGTTCCTCAATCTTGGCAATTTTAAGATGAGTGACTTAAGCATGCTGGCTGGAGAATTCTGGGAGTTAAAGGCCACACATCTTAAAGTTGCCACAGTTGAGAAACTCTGTTATTTTAAATGGAAAATTAAAGATTTCAGCATACAAAAATTAAAACTAGAATTACACAATTCTAGTTACACAATAGGAGGCTGATGTTTCAACCAAGCAAATCAAAGTTCAGTGATTGGGATATGATTGTTATTCTTGAGAAATAACTTTTGGTTTGTCTTTAAACTCTCACAGAATCTCATCAAGTTCTTGCAGATTCCATGGAAAAGTTTCCAAACCCACTTGGGCAATCTGTGAGCAAGGCTTGGACATTATTTTCAAGGGGGTAGGGAGGTGAGCAGATACAAGCCTGCACCTTCAGCTTCCTTTCATATAGTATAAATGTAACCCATCACACGCATATTGCTTTGAGATTTGTATTTTCTAGACAGGTGTGTAGTTTATTTTCTATGCATATATAATTCATATTGGGGAGCTGCCTGTCCTATCAATAGTTCTTGGTCCTTGATCTCTGCGTTGGGATCAGTTATTTCCCTCAAAAAGGATGGGAAGGCAACTTGGAAGCTATGGCCTCCTGTTGTGATCTTCAAGGCCCCCTAAATCCTCCCCCTCCTTTACCTCCAATGTTGATTCCTGTGACAAAATATAAGTTTGAATGCTTTCAAGAAGAAACAACGCCCACAGATTGTGTACAGGTAGTCCTCGACTTACAACCACAACTGAGCACAAAGTTTCTGTTGCTAAGCGAGACAGTTCTTAAATGAATTTTGCCCCATTATACGACCTTTCTTGCCTCAGTTGTTAAGTGAATCACTGCAGTTATTCAGTTAGTAACACAGTTGTTCAGTGAACCTGGCTTCCCCATTGACTTTGCTTGTCAGAAGGTCACAAAAGGGGATCACATGACCCCGGGACACTTGCCAAATGTCTGAATTTTGATCACGTGACCCTGGGGATGCTGTGATGGTTGTAAGTGTGCATAAAGGTTGTAAGTCACTTTTTTTTCAATGCCACTGTAACTTCGAATGATCACTAAATGGTCACTAAATAAACTGTTGCAAGTCAAGGATTACCTGTACTATATTTGCACATTCTTTTTTTAAAAAATCTATTTTTCTCCCAAAGAGTATATTTTATGCTTCCTTGTTTATTTCAAAAAAATTTTAAAAAGAAGTACCGATACCTAACATGGAAGCCCTGCGAAGCAACTGCCATAATCAAGGCCAAGCATCCATTTCTCTCCCTAGCTCTAGTCCTGCCTGGCTGAGTGACCTGATGCATTAATTATTAAGAAGATGCTCTCATTCCCATTTTGAAGACACAACATTTGGCAGAACAACGCAAATGTCTTTATAGTCGTCCCCCGTCCCCCCATTATGGTGTGAATGCCAATTTGTGACATTTATCAAACTCTGACACATTTGGCTACTGTTGGGTTGGAAAGCTCAGCAGTTGTAGAAATATAACACCATGGCAACAGTTGTCATAAATATAGAATTAATAGTTCCCTAGGGCTCTAATCCTGTACCTTTTTCTCAAGGGATTCAGTGGGGCTCACTTTTGAATTAACATGAGCATTGCTGGACCATGAAAGAGTATAGAAACAGGAGACGTCGGCAGTAAGGTCAATATGTCTTCTCAGTCTTACAAGAGGGAAGAGTTCATTTTAGCCCAATCAAGTGAAGCACTTGATTAGTCCTCTGCAACAAAAATACTGAGTAATTTTTGGCCTTTCATTCAGATCCCACTCCTTCAGGATGGTTGCACAATGGATGGAGTCGACTGGAATTAACTCTTTGGCCTTTTGTGAGTTCTGTCAAGCGATTCAGATAAGCGATTAAAAGCTGGAAACTCAAATCTCTTAAGCAACCACTTTGAGCCTACAAATTGCAGTAGATTCCTTAAGTTTGGTGATGCTTATGAGTTAACTGGCTTGGGAATGCACTATTAGAAATCTATAAACCATTATGTTTCAGCTAAAATGAATGCAAAGGATCTGAGCAGGAGTGAGTAAGGACTCCTTAAAAAAATAGTTTTCCCTCAATGATAAATAGGGAAGCAAAAGAATGCTGGTGCCAAAGTTGACTCTGTTTAAATTAGAAATTTGTCACATTTAATTAATTATGTTCTGGAAGCTGTTCTTGTTTGTTTGGTATGAAATCTGAGGAAAGATAATTGGTTTTGGTTTTTCAACTAGCATTAAAAATGTGGTTAAAGAGAACAGTGCAACATTTTGATCTACACAGGGAATAAGGAATGTTCCAGTCCATAGTAACCTTCATTACTGGTATTGCATTAGATGGTCTCATATTTTAAAAGAATTATAGTGGCAACTTGAGTATTTTCCTTACATATTCACACTACATCTTGTATTTGTGTTGTCACATGGTAGCGTGCTGCAAACAGGCTTAGCTAATAGATAAATATCTTAAGTGCTTTGTCCACTGATCATTTAGGTTTAAAATAACACTTTTCGATTTTTAACAATTTTTATTCCATTATAAGTTTTACTGTAATAGGGTAATATTAAATGGGAAATTATATTTGACTGCTTTTAGTTAGCAAGTTAAATTGTCTCAAAATTCAATAATTCAAAAGACAGCCCATTGTAATAGCAAAGGATTTTGTAAATTGCAAATTACAGATGGCTTCTTGGATAGCCCAGTTTCAATATTTATCAGTCTGTTTATAAGGTACCCTCATTGTAACTTTTAAGGCATATGTGACTTGGATTAAATTAACTTGAAACACTGCTTTTTCATCTCATGAATTTATCTAGATGTTTAAGGTTTTTTGGGAAAACATTTTTTTTCCTCCACTGACTTTTTAAAGTCACACTTAGTGGGAAAATTAAGAAAGGCCTTTTGAATGGTTTTTCCCAAGTCTTGAAATGTGTCTCCAAGATTGGTCTATTTCTTTCTCTGTTAATAGAGATGTTTCTATTAATTTAAGTGTTTATTGGATTGTTGAAGAGAGTTTTAATCAGGTCATTCTCTTTTTTATGATTTTTAATACTCTTTTAATTTAATTAAACTGTATAATTACATTAGTCATTGAGTACCATTTTCAAAAGAAAAATAACTTTTTTATAAATAAACAGTCTATATATAGATTGCTAGATCTAAACATTAAAGACTGTGGCAAAGGGTGGTGTGCCTATGACAATTTGATGTTGGGTTTTTCCTTTGTTTATAACTTTTTAAATATCAACTCTTATTAATTACCATTAGAAAACAAATTGCTGGGCTCGATGGACCTTTTGATTAAAGAAAAGGATCTTCCAACTGTTTCCTTTGGAATAAATTCTCTCCTTTTTACTTTTTCTTGCTCTCTTCCTATAAGCTTTCTAGCAGTAACTAATGCTTTTTTTCCTTATCACTTCAGCTTTTCAAAAGAAAGATACAGTGGTGTCTTAGGATCTGAATGCATATCAAGCTTTTTCATTTTTGTTTTCCAGAAAAGGGCAACATGTTGCAAATCATGCACATTCTGGATTCAAACTCTTGCAAATCTTGCATCTTTCTGACCTGGTTCATAAGCCAGGGTTTGCTTAATTATGATTTCTTAAATAAACCACAAATGGCTGTATTCACACAAGGTAATATGCCCAAACTACACACTTACCTTCATGGCTTAAACCAGCAATCCCCAATCCCCAGGCCGCAGACTGATACCAGTTCGAGACCTATTAGGAACTAGGCCACGTAAGCAGCAGATGAATGAGCAAAGCTTCATCTGTGCATGCTCAGGATCTATGTTGCACGAGAAACCACCACTACCCTGGTCTGAGGAAAAATTGTTTACCATGAAACCGGTTCCTGGTGCCACAAAGTTGGAGACCGCTGGCTTAAGCAATAAATCAGCCCTACTGATCTTCCAGAAAAATAGATGATGACTTCAGCCTTAAATATTTGTGGTGGTTCCCAAAATGTGGGCCATGGACTCCTTGGGGGACTGTGGAGTTATTAAAGGGCATTCATTTATACATCGAACATGCAAAACAAAATGAAAAGCATTCACAAAGATCTTCTATAAATACTGCTTGGGGTGAAATAAGACAGAAATACTGGCTGGTCTAAGAGGGAGATTTGAGAGGAATAGCACTAGGCTATTTAGCCTGATCCTTCCTTCCCTCTTCCTTGCCAATGGCAGTATTTCTGTCCCTCCCAGGATACCCAATGTATGCATGGCTGCCCACCATGGTAACATTCCTGGCATTATTTCTGGCTGCCATGCCTGTAAGCATCCGTCTGTAACAACCTGTCTGGTCCTGTGAGGATGACAAGCTCAGAAAAAAGAACCTGGAAATAACTTTATTGGTTGTAGGATAATGTAACAAAATCATAAAAGCCTGCCAAAGAAATTCTCCAACTCAGTTTATACTTAGCATAATTAAGATGGAGTCACCTTCTTTCTCATGCTATCCCCTCCCCTGGACTCAAGTAATCTCTTCAGTTATAGCCCATAATTCTCTCCCTCATGAACCTGCCCAAGCTCTTCACTCATTCCATTCCATGGCCCCATAATGAGTCTTCAATTGTGCAGTATTTTGCTGTTCTTAGCTACTCTACCAGGGCTTCCCACACATCCCTTCCATTCCAACCTCCTACTTCTTTCTCCCATCACCATGGGATGTCTCAGCTCTCAGCAATGTACTAGCAGCTTCTTCTAGCCCCCTTTCTCACTGGGGGATGAGAGGCCAAAGGCATACGGCAAAAGCAGAGGAGTTGCCACAGCTCCACCCACCTGATCCCACACTACCAGGATCTCCCCTTCACCCATCTGGAAACTCCCATGATGCATGCAAGATGATGTTCACCTGAGTGGCCAGTCTCACCTGCATACACACATCCACCACTTCCTGCTAACTCCTAGCAGCAAAACAGGGAGACCACTATTGCTTCGGTGAGCATGCACAAAGAGCATCCTCACACAATAAAGAAATACAGGTTAACAAACAATATAGATGGCTTGTTTGTAGCTTTTTTGTTTCTTTCTGGAGGAAGCAGGGATGATTGGACAAGGGGAGATGTTACTGCCTTTTGGACTGTTTTAGTGGGTTGCCAGAAAGCTTGCTTTATAGAACTTAGCAATAGAACTTACTTATATACTGCTTCACAGTGCTTTACAGCCCTCTCTAAGCGGTTTAGAGAGTCAGCATATTGCCCCCAACAATCTGGGTCCTCATTTTACTGACCTCAGAAGGATGGAAGGCTGAGTCAACCTTGAGCCGCTCAGAATTGAACTCTTAGAGCAGTGGTTCTCAACCTTCCTAATGCTGTGACCCTTTAATACAGTTCCTCATGTTGTGGTGACCCCCAACCATAAAATTATTCCTAAAACCATTGAAAATATGTGTTTTCCGATGGTCTTAGGTGACCCCTGTGAAAGGGTTGTTCGACCCCCAAAGGGGTCCTAACCCACAGGTTGAGAACCACTGTCTTAGAGTGAGCTAGCTTGAATAAATACTTGCATCTACATGGAACATGCATCTATAATTTATGTAATCCAAATTCATTTAAAAGCATTATCTGTGGTTACTGAATTCATAGTAGCTGTGTGTTTCTTTCATGCATTACAGGTAGACCTTGACTTAGTAACCGTTCAAAGTTCCAATGGCACTGAAAAAAGCGATTTATGACCCTTTTCCACACTTATGACCGTTTCAGCATCCCCATGGTCACGTGGTTTACATTCTGCTGCTTGACAACTGACTCACATTTATGACGGTTGCAGCGTCCCGGGGTCATGTCATCACCTTTTGCGACCTTCTGACAAGCAGTCAAAGGGGAAGCCAGATTCACTTAACAACCGTGTGGCTCACTTAACAACTGCAGTGATTCATTTAACAACTGTGGCAAGAAAGGTCGTAAAATGGAGCAAAATTCACTTAAAACTGTTTCACTTAGCAAAAGAAATTTTGGGCTCAATTGTGGTCGTAAGTCGAGGACTACTTGTACCTGGAATATCAATGTATCAATGTTAAAAAGAGATCCTCAAATTAAAAGTGAAGGGGGGAGCAACCCCCCCTAGGAAAAAAAAATCCAAATAGTGTCGAATGGGGTTTCACCACATTGCTCCATTAGTTGCTTTTTTCTTTGGACAAGCAGCAAAAATAATCTACTACAATAACCAATATTTTTCCTTTTTTTTTTCTAAAGTAATTTAACCAGATCTGCTGCATTCATAATCTCATCAGTGATGAAATATTGCTGGGAAGTATGGATAAAAATATTGCAGAGCAGCTTAATAAGGCATACGAAGCATTTCGACAGGCGTGTATGGAGAGAGATTTTGCTAGAAAAGAACTAAAGCAAAAGGTACGTTTATGTTTTTAGTATCTAACCTTACAAGTTAAGATTTCCTTTAGGATTGCTTCTGAAAAAAAGGGCAACCTAGATTTCCCACCCAACAGAAATATTGTGTAGTTCAATAATGCTGTGTTGATTATCTGCCAAAATCATGCACTCACAGGTTATGAAGCTGTGCCATGATAAATATAGTTTGTTTATGAAATTGAATTTTGTATCCATCAAGGATAGTTTGCCTTTCTCTTTCAACTCTTAGGCAGTTATGACCTGTACCACCAGTGGCCTCTAGGATTGCCTTTGTCAAAGGATGCTGTGCTTGCAAGGAGACAGATAGTCAGGAGCTTGATAGTAGGAAAAGAAGTCTCCCACATTTGCATGAGGAAACAGTGAAGAAATAGCATGTGAAATGTTTTGGTTTTGGGGTTTTTTTTGCTGGTAGCTTTGTATTACAGAAGGTAAAGATGAAATGAACTATAAAGTAGTGTTAAATTTAAAAATATAGTCTAGTTCAGTGTTTCTCAACCTATTTCAATCTATGGCGCAATATTGAATATAGAGCAATAGTTCTGTGGCACACCACAAAATTATTAATCTTATATATGTATTTTTAAATAGTATGTAACACATGGTTTGAAGGAAAGTTATATAATTTTTTAAAAATATCTGCACTGTATTAAATATATGGTAGAGAGAGAGAGAGGGAGAAATAGATAGATAGATAGATAGATAGATAGATAGATAGATAGATAGATAGATATAGACAGACAGAGCACACCCATATGCTACAGCACACTAGCTGAGAACCAGTGGTCTAGGAACATTATAGAGAGATGAATTCTTAAGAGGGATGAGAGGAATATACTATAGCTCAGTGGTTTTGCATGTAAAAGGCTCCTTATTCAATCATTGGCATCTTTATATAAAAACCATCCATTGGATTTTGTATAAAAATCTAATAATAAGTCCTAGGAAAGCTAATACTAAACATTTAGGATTGGAATGATGGAATATAGGGAAAATATTTGAAATTATATTATATCGTGAAAAGGGAGTAATGGGAGAATATTTGAATAAGATAATTTAGAGTTAGGTTGATTTCAATTTAAAGGGTTTCAAATTCAAAAAAGTAAAGAGAGAAGTGGAAAAAGAAAAATTGATTAAGATTAGAGATCAGGGCGAATGGTAATATTGTTTATATATTGGAAGAAATAGAAGGAAAATAAAACAAAAAATTAGAGGGAAAGAATGTTATGGTGAAAAGTGAAATATATATATATGGTGTTCGAGAAACTAAAAGTGGTACAAATTTTGACTCGGCCAATACTCTGTTCAGAAAAAATGTGTGTGTTTGTTTGTATGTGTGTTTGAAAAAAAAATAAAAAAACTTTTATTAAAAAAAAAGAGTAAGTCCTGGAAAGCTGAAGTAAGATCATAAACACAGATGTAGTTTCACTTAGCAATGACTTCACTTAATGACTGAGTTGTCAGTTGCAATTTTATTTATTTATTTATTTATAATTAAATTTATATTGTAGTCACTAAACAAGGATTATCTGTATACTGTCCTTTACTGGGTTGGCTGTAGATTAGTCTCATCTATAGTTCTGCAGCTATGCAGGAAGCCTTTGTGCTGTTGCTCATACCCTTCTGGATTTTTACTTTTCATTTCAATTCAAACACCACAGAACTGGGGTTTGTCTTCCTTCTATTTGAGATCTTAGATCTCAAGCAGTATTCAAGCAGTGGTCTACCCATTGCTTATTAATGTCATTTGATAACTTTTAAATTTATTTCTGGCTGTTTTGATTATTTGTAAATGTTTTCCAGGGAAAGTTTTTGCCTAGAGAAGTTTGTTTACTGAACAGTCAAGTGGATCTTTTTCTTAGTATGAATTAAGGGCCTCTAAATCAACTTTAAGCCTGACGGACTTCAACTCCCAGAATTCCCCAGCCAGCAAAGCAAAGCTGGCTGGGGAATTCTGGGAGTTGAAGTCCGTCAGGCTTAAAGTTGCCAAGGTTGGAGACCCCTGCTCTAAATGATACAATAAACAATTTAGCAGATCTCAGCTTAGTGGTCCCACCGATGCAGAGGACAAAATCTGTCCCTACGCTATATGCTTCTACGCCTCTGTGATACCCTGATTACCATTTAATACATTAACAAAATTAGTAGATTGTGTGTATCTGGGTATCAAATGCCATTTGGATTCCCCCTTTCTTTAATTAGTTCATCAGTTTGAAGTTTTCTCTCCTTAAATTCCAAAGGGCAACGTATAAGGCAGTTGCTTAAAGTTTGTCAACTTAGGAGTGTCTCCTATTTAACTTGGGGCGACTAAAAAGAAGAGGCTTTTGTTCCCGTGACCCTCCTCCTTTTTACTCTATGGTCTCAGGGACTGGTTGGAGCATCTGTCAGTTTATGGCTGATGGTGGATTCTGATTGGCCACTTGTTTTGCTAGACTCTGCAGATCAAAGCTGTGTCAAATGCATAGAAGCCGGAGTCATCACGGCCAGATGGTACTCAATACAGATGGATATTTGGTTGTCAAGTATATCTTGTAGTTACTAACTTGTTGCTGCCATCTGACTCTAAAAGAATCACTTGTGCACGCTGGCTGTCAAAAGCATCTTTTCTTCTGTCTGTTTTAGCTGTCATGAGTGTGCTCTGTACAGAAGTGTTGACAAGACATTGCTGTTGTACATTTTCAATTTGGGTCTTAATGACTTTTTCTTTTCCTTCTGCTTCCTGAGGTCATCCAGGCTGCTCAAATATACTGACCTCTTTGCCTTTTAATGGGCTTATGATGCAGCTATTGCTATATGCTGAGCTCTTACTGTGCTTTGAGATAGTTGCACCCTTTCCGTTGCCTGCTTGAAGCTAAGATTTTCAGGAGTGGAAGAATGAAAAAAACGGAAATTGTGGCACTGCTATTGTTCAACTCATCTGTCTGTGCCAGAAAGCTAATTGTTTTCTTGCCCATAATTGTCTTGTCAAAAGTGGAAAAAATCCAGAACTTCTATTAAAATGGCAGTTCAGCACAGGATACTAGATAAACTTGAGTACAGCCATGGATATTTATTTATTTATTTATTTATTTTCCATATTTGTATACCGCCCTACTCCCGAAGGACTCAGGGCGGTGAACAGTCATAAATAAATACAAAGACATATAAAAGTTAAAAACTATTAAAAAACAGATTAAATAATTTAGGCTCAAAAAATTAAAACCAAAACATCCAAATTTATCTAAAAGAGATCTAAAACCCGATTTAAAAGCCAATTTAAAAGCCAATTTAAAAGGGAGAGTTAGGCCAGACCAGCTTGTTGGAATAGAAACGTTTTCAGGGCACGGCAGAAGATGCGTAAGTCTTGGATCCTTCGTAACTCCGGGGGGAGCCCGTTCCAGATGGCAGGTGCCCCCACAGAGAAGGCTCTCCCCCTGGGGGCCGCCAGTCGACATTGTTTGGCCGACGGCACCCCGAGGAGCCCCTCTCTATGGGAGCGAACTGGTCGGTGAGAGGCTATTGGTGGCAGGAGGCGGTCTCGTAAGTACCCTGGTCCTGAGCCATGGAGCGCTCTAAAGATAGTAACCAAAACCTTGAAGCGCACCCGATATGATATTGGTACTTTTGACAAGTCACTGTTTTGCAGCCACACCTGCCTTTATCAGATTATTGTGAAATAAATTTGGTGTGTGTGTGTGTGTGTGTGTGTGTGTGTGTGTGTGTGTGTGTGTAAACAAAGCCTTATATTCCACCCTGGTTCCTCAGAACAACAAGCAAATGAGAATATAATAAATAAACAAAAGGGAAACAAGCTACGTAGGCATTTCTAGCTCCTTGAGTATAAAATCAAGCTAGGGTATTTAGAGTTTGAGGCAGAAAATCTAAGCACTAATGCCATGGCATAGCCATTCTTTGTGCCTGTCTGAGGTAAAACCTATTCATCAACATAAAATGATTGCTTCCAATTACACTATCGTTACAGACAGACAGCTATGAGAAGCAGATACATGAACAGCAGGAAAAAAATGAATTTCTAATGAGCATTGTTGCAAAACTCAAATCACAGTTGGCTGCCAACAGAGGTAGGTAGTTTTCAACCTGCTTTTTACTGACTATCTCCCTGTTTGTATCTCTTGCCATCCTTAGTATCTGTGTTTGTGTGTCTGTCTTGTGTGTATGATGTCACTGGACTCTTCTTATTTTCACATGATCCTATTGGAAATATCCACATTAAAAACTTAAAAAAAATTTAAACAACCAGGCAGTCTCTTATAAACTGATTTGCCTCCATTCAGAATTGTATTACAGAAACAATTTCTAGTCACCATTTTATAGCATAAAAGGTTGATGTATGAATATTGAACAAGAAATTGGGATGGGTAAAAATCAAGGACTGATTTTAACTGGGCGAAATCGTTCGCCAAAGGGCAAAACTTTTTCAACCAAGATACTTCAAATATCACTTACAGAATATGTCCAAACTCCAGGACCCATAACTCCCATGGAATTAAAATTTGGCAAATTTTATAAAACATGACATAAACATTTAGGACAACCATGACCTGGATGACTGAGAATCTCCATAGACATGGTGCGGGAGTATGAATAAATTTCCATAAGAATTATAGACTACATGAACCATTTGTGCTTCAGTTTGAGATGCAAACAACACAGACTCGCCCCAATAGCCTGCACCTGTGTTCAACAGTGAAGGGACACAGGGCAGAAAACATCCTGCAGAAAGCACAGCTCCACAACACAGTTCTTTCAGCAGTTCCAAGAAGGCACCACACCCATTTTCACTACTCAGGTCACCTTGAGGACACAGAAAAAACTCCCAAGTGGCCTCAAGGACTCTAAAAGAATGCAAATGACCATCTGTCTGAAAGGAATATAAATCCTTCCATTCCCCATCATCCAGTCAGAGCTGAAGAAGCTTCTTGGATGAGAAGCAAAACGTCTTCAAAGAAAAACAAGAAACTCCAGTTGCCTCTTGAAAAAGCACCTTTGGGATTTCCCGTGCTGATGTTTGATTATGCTATACCATTCAGTGTGAGCTATTTTCAAGGCAGATATGTCTCTGAACGTATTCCAAATCGTCCAGTGAAGTCAGTAAATTGTTGAAGGCATTGAGGAATCCGGTAAGGAAATAATATCTGAAAGGGTGACCCAAGGAGTCATGGGTTATCTAGTGAAATCTTAGAAGTGGAGAAGAAAACTGTGTGAGTGGATCAACAATATTTTTGGCAGTCCATTCTGGACTTTATTTCCACTTCCTCCACTTGGCACCTTCCATCCAGTCTTGAAAGTACTCAGCTTTTCAGCCTGATCACTTGATCACTTTTTTGGATCTTCTTGCCCTTTAAAATTGCTAATAATATGCTACTGAACATTGGGGGGGAAATTGAACTTACATTCTCTGTGTTATTTCATAACTAATGGAAAGCATTTTAAAAATTTTAAATAACTGTGGAAGCCATGGATAACAGCTAATGCAATAGGATTCATATTTAAGTAGTCTGTAGGAAGACTGTAGGAAGTCTGTAGGTTTCTTTGATTTTTTTATTTTGACACAGAGTTGTGTAAGAGCTTATCCTTGTGTTTTAGTGTAATGTGGATATGGAGCCAATCCTGGTTGGCTATGACTTAATATGGGTTTTTTAAACATGTATATTTTACACTTGAGATAATCTGAATAGTATTTATGAAACAGAATTGACATCTAAATATCCTCATCCAATGTCTTTTTGACCACTTTCTTCTATAAAGCCAGATGTGATACCTGGGATAGAGCTGTTGACATATTGGCAATAAATGCCTGTAGTTTGTCTGGCCAGCTCTACCTTTAGCTGAAGGGGAGCCACCACTCAAGGTGGCAAACTGAGACAGTGGACAATAAGGTCATCCCTGATACTCCCCATGCCTGAAATGCTGATTTCATTGTGCTATACAAGGAGCAACATCTCCTGTCTCAAGTAGCTGGCCTTCTTGAACTGTCTTCTAACAATAGCACTTAGACTTATATACCACTCCATAGCAATTTACAGCACACTCTGAGTGGTTTACGTATGTCAGCATATTGCTCCCAGTAATCTGGCCACTTATTTTACTGACCTCGGAAGGATGGAAGGCTGAGTCAACCTTGAGCCCGTCAGGACCAAACTCTTGGCTGTGGACAGAGTACTGCATTCTAACCACTGGGCCACCATGGCTCTTCTGGTGATGATAGATAGAACAGGTTTACTCCTTGAAATGCCATCCCTTTATATCTATAGTACTGTATTTGAGAACATGTTCTGAAAAATCCTATTGTTTGGTTCTCCTTGCAGATGCTACAAAGGGGTTGGGAGACAGAATGGGACACAGAGTGAAAGAGGAAGTGAAAAAGCCTAAAAAACAAAGCTTAGAAAAAATAAGGAAATAATTTGTTTTAATGAGAAAATAGTGAGGAAAAATAAAATACTTTGGGTATTTTAATAGGGAAACAGAAAAGTGATTTCTCTTGCAAAAGAAGTAGGCTATTAATATTACCTGCAAGAAGAGGCAGACTCATTCTCTATTAAAAGGGAAGGCAGGCCAAGGATCAGTGAGCTGAAATTTAAAAAAAAAACATTATAAGGCAGGGGTATCAAACAGGCTGGATGCATCACATGCAGGCCATGCCCACCCCCGCTCCGTGAAGGGAAAAAACGTTGCGAAACATCATGTGACGGCAGTGTGCCACCATGCGTTTGACACCCGTGTTATAAAGAATGTCCTGACAGTAAGCCATGGAAGTATCTAGAACAGTATTTATTTATTTATTATTTATTTATTAGTTTGATTTATATGCCACCCTTCTCCGGAGACTCAGGGCGGCTTACAATGCTTTTAAGCAATAGCCTTCATACTTTTGTATATACCTGCTTAGTAGGGCTTTTTGCCCCCCCCCAGCGGTGTTCTATTTTATACAAAGTCAGTTTATTGCCCCCACAAACCGGGTCCTCATTTTACCTACCTCGGAAGGATGGAAGGGCTGAGTCAACCTTGAGCCTGGTGAGAATTGAACTTGCAGTAATTGCAGGCAGCTGGCAGTAAATACTACTTTAACAGTAGTTTAGTCCACTGCGCCACCAGTAGTAGATTCTCACAGTGGAGATTTTCAAATAGAGCAGGAGTAATTTAATGGCTTCTTGTAATGAACAGTAGGTTGAACTAGATGTTCGAGAAAGGCCTTCCAGTGCAATGCTCAGTCATATGGCATTGTTCTGTTCCTAGATTACCTCATTTAATTATCTCATTTTATGCAACAATCAAATGCCCTATTTAGAGGGAGCAGGTGAACATACACATGCATTTTGTGTGCATGTCTTGCTATGCACACTGAGATGGATTTAAAAAGATTATATGACAGTTAAAAAAATATAGATGATGTGTTTTATGGTATAGAGATATAAGTTAGGTACAAGCATTCTGAGACATTCCAGTAGGTTGTAAACTTGACTTTAAGGGATGCTGTTTCCCAAATATTCACTCGAAAGAGCAGCTGAAATTTAAATAAGCCAGTATTTAAAGTAAGAACTCTGTCTGACACCTCCAGCATTTGTGAAGCAGCAAATGATTAAGGCAAGGTTTTGGGGGAAAGTTAGCAAGCTCTCTACTTATTCAGAAAGAACCCTTCAGTTTAGTCACTAACTCCTCTTTGTGAACCCCAATATTTAGGATTAAGTATACTCCTAAAGAAATAAGCCAGAAATGAGTAACTGTTTAAGTTGCATTGTATTACTTATTGTTTAGTGGAGTATCTGTTTTAACTGTTTTAAATAATTTGATTTAATTAACAGATTTTGTATTGTTTTGCAGTATCATTAAATAGCAATAAAACGCTATTTAAAAATTTATACAATCTTTTTATGGTTTTCTTTTGGATATCTATGAAAAAGGGTTTTATTTAGAACGTGTATATTATTTTATCTGTGTGATGGTGGAATAGGAAATTTTATGTATTGTATTTTTTAATTCAAATTGGGATTTATCTGTGAAACAAAACCCTATTGTATTCTACGGTTTTTTCACACCCACCTAAATATTTTAATTCAAAACAATACTTTCTTTTATAGTCAACACACAAAGTCAAGTTCCAGTCCATGAAGACAATGAAATGCCAAGAAATGGTACCTTGTTGAACTCAGATTTTGATCAGCTCCAAGAAAAACTGAAATTGGCAATGCAAAGGGAAAAGCTTTTGAAGGTAGGACGCTTTCTTTAAGATATATAGTGGCTCTAAAAGTTTGAAAGAGAAAAAGATAACTTATAAGGGTATATTACTGTTAGGAAAAGCCCATTTAATGGGAATGAATTTGAAGACATCATCACTCCTACTGTCCCTCAGCGGAGATAATTCACCTGTTTTTGATCCATTGCAGTGTGTTGTTCCTTGTCAAAGTTGTCAAAATGTAGATAAGCTACACCGACAAGCCTGTTTGGAATCATTTGACACTCTTCAACTAGCCACAATTAAGAGTCACCACAATATAGGGTCCAATTAAAAATGGAAAGCTTTGATTCTCTCCTTTATGACCGTATTGGTCACAGTAAACTAGTGACAAGGAATTTTCTGGTGCTCCTGAATTATTATTCCCAGCAACCTTAGCCAGCATGTCAAATGACAATGGATGCTAAGAATTGTAGTTGAGCAGGTAGCTGGAGGCCTGCAGGTTGTCTCAAGTATTATTTACAGCTCTTTTGCTTTTTGTCTTCCTAGAGGTTATACATGATTATGAAGCATAGAAGGTCCCCCAAGTCTGTTTGTGTTAAGCAATAGATAGGATCTTACCTCAATGAAATAGTATGTGGTTTATATGTAGTGCTAGCTTGGGATTTTGGCCGGTTTCTACCATCCCTAGCTGACATAAGAGAATTAATAGGTAATGGGAAAAACTCAGTCTGGAATCTTGGAGAACTCAAAAAGATTAGTACTTAGCTAAATGAATCTTCTGATGTGGATTAAGGCAGCTTTTCTCAATTCCTAATATCAAACTCTTTTATGAAAGCTTATTTTTTTAGCTTGCAGATAATGAGCTAGGGACTTGTATTTCTGTCAACTAAGCATATTTTAATCATATGTGTTAATTTGTTAATAAAGAATACCTATTTTGTCAAATTAGTGACACTTGATAATTATGTTGGAGAAATCTAATTTCAGAATCTCTCATTCTCTCTTTTCTCCTTTCTCTTTAAGCAAGCTTTGCAATTTCTGCTTCAGAAATTTGGAATTGGAAGCAAAAAGAAAAATTACATTCCTCTGGTAACAACATAGTATCTATATTTACACACTGCAGATATGGATATAGCAATCATCATTGCCCCTACAAAAATATCCTCAGTATATTTGCTTATTTGTGTTTAAGCAGCGTTTGCATTGTGACAACATGCAGATGTCCAACTAATATTGTGTTTACAAAGTAACCTTAATCCAGCCTCCTTTCCTCTGCTTCAGTCCTCTACCTGTGGTAACACTAACCTAATTTAGAAGAGGGTCACACAAATTGGAAAAATAAAAGATGGCAAGCGCTTTGAAATTCAAATGTTATATGAAGAAGTGCAAATATCATTGTTTTTAAAATGATGTACTATTATTTTCAGTATATATCAAAAGGAGAGGGGGCTTGTCATACTTGAAAGTCAGGAGGGAAGAAGTATTTCCTGTTTTATCTAAACACAAGCGAGAAGAAAAAGAATATCTCAGTAAAACAGGTAGCAACATGCTTATTAAAAAAATTGTACTAGGAGGACACTCCTTGGAGTGTTCAGGTCACCTCCAGATCAGAAAAAGAATAGATTTATTGGGAAACATAGAGGAAGAGCAGGATGGAAGTCAGAAAAAAATAGGGGTTTTCCCTAATACACACCTAAACCATAAATTGTGAAAGCAACTGCCAAGGCCTTAGTCCCACTCATCAGATGGTAATAGTGAGGATTCCTATTGAGCATGCACATGGTTTTGTTAGTGCGGCTATGTAATCTGAATTGAGCTCTTCATACATGTGAAATTTAAGGCTACAAGCCAATAATAGGAAAATAATTATTCCTATTTTTACTTCTTTTTCTCCATTGCTACATTCATGTTTGATTCTCCCGTGTTCTCTTGAATAAGTGTGATGCTGTTGTTTGTTTACATAAAACATTAAATCTCCTTCAAATCACACTCTTCTCATTCTAACTCCAGGGAGGTATAGCTGTGTAAACAACACTACAGAAGTAATTTGTCATTGGAGGTTCCAAGGGTTTTGGGGGGGGGGGGCATGGGATTGTTTATTTAAGTTCCCAATAGAGCCTACAGCTGGAAATTTCCTGGTGTCCTCTCAACTATTTCAAACTCATGTAATGAAAAGACTTCAGTCTAAAATTTAATACTACAGAAGCAACAAAGGAGAGAGGAAAAAAATGACCTAGGATTACTTTTACTTCCAAGGATTCACCCCACTTCCTGGGCGATGTCCAAAGGTTTGAAGAAGATAGGAAGATAACATAGCCCAACACAGATATTCTATAAAGCAGTTCCAAATTTAAGAAAGAGCAAGGAAAGGAGAATCTAGAATGATGGAGTTCCAGGAGGCAAGGAACAAGTTAACTGAATAAATGTTAACCTTGTTTTGTAACTTTTATAATTGTTTTTATTCTTCCAGCATTCTTTTCATTTTGAAAATCAAAGATTTACGACCCTCCAGAGGTTCATAAATGAGCTTCAGGGACAAGACTTAAGAGACAAAATAATATTGGGAGTTATAGACTGTTAATCTCTGCTTTAAGCATTTTTAATGTGTTGTTTAGTTGCGTTTTAGGATTTATTTTTATCAATAAGAAGTGGGTTCAAATATTCTCAGTCTCATAAATAGATGTAGTTATGCACCTTCTCCAGGTCCATTCTAACTTCCTTCAGTTTATCATGTGAAGTTTGGGATTAGAAAGCCCTCATTCCATTGTATTGCTTTCTGTTAAATTTTAAATGTTTTTTTCTTTTTTAAAAAATCGTATATTCCTTAGAAAGGTCAGCTTGCTTGTTGCTGTTTTTAGAAACCTGTCACTGTCTCAGTACTTTTCACATCTTTCATTTGTTTCTTCTTCTGTTGTTTCTCTCCTATTATTTATTACCATCTTCCTTGGCTCCTCTCTGAGCAAAATGTGGTGCTAATAGCTTTTCCCACCCATCCAGAAATAGAAAAATAGATTTCATCCTTCTAAAACCTTTCTATCAAACACATCCGCAAATTTATTTTATTATTTACATTTACGCAGGCAGCTAATAGCACCAAATGTTCTCTAGGTGGTTTACAAAAAGAAAAGAAATACAGAACCCAGAGAATGACTGAGCAGTATTTTTAATAGTGGTTAAAGTACGGGTGGTATCCACCTTATTTTCTTATTTCCTTTTTTATTTTATTTATTTATTTATTAAATTTGTTAGCCACCTATCTCGCTTCAAGGCAACTCTGAGCGGTTTACTATATCAAAATAAAACCATAAATATGTATACATTTATATAGTCACACATAAATAAAATCTTTGAAATTTCAATTGGGGAATTAAAAATGTATTTACATAGGTGAGCTTTCATCACTGCAGCAGTTTGCCCTCTTTTCAGTTTGAGAAAATACTTATCTTCATAATAGCATTTTGCAACCCAATATCTATCCAGAAGTAAATCTTATGGATGAGCCACTAAGAAGATAATATGACTGCACTTTTCTTCTTTCCCATTCAAAATGTGAACAAAAGCAAATGTATTCCGGTCGTTTTGCTTGTCATTAGTTAAACAGATTGACCAGATGGAACCAACTAAGGCTTTAACTACTCATCATTTTCACCATGTTCCTACTACTGATACTGTTTTGCAGTTTTGACTCTGGACTGCCATTTCTCAAAACACACGCATGCAACATGTAATATGATTACATTGAATTACTGTTCTTCATAGTAAATTGACAAATGCCACACATCCATCACAGCTGGAGATTTTGATCTTCAGGAAAACACAATGTTGTTGCCACTGCTGGTGGTGGTGGTATAGCTTCGTGTTTTTTTAATTTTTTTTCTTGCTGAGGTCTTCCCCTTTTCGGTGTAGAGTGTCATTATATGCAGATAATTCATAGATTATATCCTAATGATGCAGGAGAAAAGTAGACCATTTAAAAGTAGACTATTAAGCTTATTTTTGAAGCGTAATATCTTGAGTCTTGCAAAATCCTAAGTGCTAAATAGCTACATTTTAACTGTTCCAGAAATTAAGAGCCTTGAAGACTATTGTCACTTTCTTTAAATATATTTTATCTTGATTCTAGCACATGCTGAAACTAATTAAATATTAGTGAACAGGCTATATAAATGGAATAAGACAACATTTCTTGCATTTCTAAGCACTAATATGCATAGTGGTGGTGTGACTCCTTTTATGTATGTGTTCAAAATAAAGCACAATTGTTTTGAATAATTGTCCACAAGAAAATTAACTGCATGTTGTAAGTAAATGAATTATAATTATTTCATCTTAACCTAATGGTACTTACTCAAGTCTGATTTCATATAGGAGCACAAAAGGAGTCCTGATCCGATTGAAGGCCTATCTGGTCCCTTAATCACATGACTTTTGAGAAGCCCACAACTAGTTTTGAGGACAATAGGATTTCCCACTCAGTTGCTAAGCAGGTGCCATTGAAAAGAGCTATAGTATCTTGGACCTAGGGTGCCATATTTAGCTATCTTAGTAATCACTTTTCCCTACCAACATCCTTGATGGATTTTCCTGATATTGTCAGCCATTGTTCAATGGTGAATGTCATACACATCCCATCTTTCAGTTCCATTGGATAATTCCAATGAGTGAAGGAGACACTTATTTATACATTACCCCCTTACATTGTGGCATATTATATACTCTTATGCTATACCTCTCTTAACTTACCATTTCTATTTTCTTCATAGAAAAATTGCACCATTTCCTTGATCATTTTAATTGCTCCTTTTCTGCCTCTTTTCCAGCTCCATCACATAATATTTTTTTTTTAAATACAGCTACTAAAACTGTGTGCCATATTCCAAGTGTGGTCACACCATAGATTTGTATAAAGGCATGATGATATTGTCAGTTTTATTTTTCAATCTTTTTCCTAATGATCTCTAACATGGAATTCGCCTTTTCACAGCTTTTTCACAGATTGCTAAGACTTAATTTAGCCTATAACAATCTATTCTATAATGACATTCCTCAGAGCTTGAAAATTAACCAACTGTGCTCTCTCTTTCTCTGTGTGTGTATGTGGTTTGTTTTTTTTTAAAGGAACAATTGGAAAGTGAGAGTGTAAAATTAAAAAAAACTGAAGAAGATAGTAATTTAAAGGAAAAGAAATTTGAATCTATTATCACTGCCAAAGAAGATGAAATAAAGAATCTAAAAAAGCAGCTGAAAGAAATAAATGAAGCACAAAATTGCGTACAGGTATCAAGATACGAAAAAGAGGTAAGAAAATTCAGAGATACTGCAGAGATCTGAAGACATTGAGATACTGTAGGACTGAAACTAATTTCATAAGCCAAAAACCTAATGCAGTGTACTCTTCTGTAAATAAAATACTCAGAATACTGGCCTATCTATTAAAAAAAATAATCAGATTAATTTCTTCTGCCTTTTGGAGTGAAAAGCAGATATACAATCTGTCATTCCTTTGTATACCTAATTTTTCTTTAAAGACCATACTATACTGGCTTCATTTACCCAGGAAGACCTTTTCTAAACTCTGAAAGCTATATAAAAGATGGATTAGCAGCATGTGGCAACCCCTGGCCAACCTTAATGGGGCTCTAAAGATAAGCAAGGTGGGTCCAGTTAGGGCATGCGTGAATGTGCTGGAAAAAATTGGGCTGTAGGGTAAATTGATTTAAAAAAAACAACAACAGTGGAATACCACTTTTTTACAATTATCAAGAAAGCTTCAAGGATATGTCCATGAAGTTCCCATAAGTTAAACTGCCCTCGAAGAAGACTATTTTAGTTAATACGCTTTGAAATAAAACGCCCATGTAATACAGGCGTAATCCACAAGGTGGTAGTAAAATATAATAACTTCTCTCCTTACTTGAAAAAAACATGTTATATTAGCCCTGGATCAGCTTTAATAAAAAGCAAAAGTGGAGTTCTTCCTGATAGTTTTATGATGCATGTTAATGTACAAAGGCTGATGCATAAATATGTATGGATTTAGTAATCCCTGCCCAGTTTCATTATGTGGAGAGAATTCTAGGTGGAAGAATATTTGTATAAATTCTTTTTGTATGGAAATGACTGAATTATGGGAAAGCCTTTAATAAAAAAAAAAAAGAATGAAATGCAAGTCAGCATTCAGTGTGTCCCTCTTATTTAGCTAAATTGATTATTTCTGAGGTATAAGTGCGAAACCAGGGTGAACAGCACTTCTTGGTTAACTCAGCTATCCAAAATACTCAGGGCGTATTCTAGTACCTAAAAATAATGATCCATAATAGATTTCCAGCATACATATTTCTAAACAATGATTGATGGATTTTATTTTTATTATTTTTTTTGCATAAAAAGTAAGGCAAGATGCCATTAACAAATGGATATTATATTAGTACTTTGTGGTTCTGTTAATTTATAAGGGTACTTCTTGTAACAATGTTATAATTCAACTATCTTCTTTTCTTTCTTTCTTTTCCTACTTCTGATCATCTTCAAAAGGCAAGGAGTGAAAAACATCCTTCGTCTAGACAGGAATTATCATCAGGGGTCTCTTCTGCGTCTGTCTGTGAAAGGTATGGAATTGGGGTCCCCCCCCCCTCCTATAATAATGCATTGTTTTGTCCTTGCTTTCTAGTTTTAAAAGGTATTTTCCCCTTACTTCTTGCCTTCTCCCGTCCCACTTCTAAGATAGATGTCTAGAACTTCTTTTAGGCTGGGTTGACACATCATAACTAATGAGATTTGCTTGGTTTTGGCTTTTGCTTTGTAATTTACGATTTAGGACTTAGGCATAAGTAGAGAGGCAACTGCAAATAAACCAGGCTTATCCATTAAGTCGTGATTAATAAAATCACGGCTTAGGATGATGTGTGCTCTAAACTGAACAATTAATAACATAAAAGCTGCACTGGACACCTGGTGCCTTAATTAACAGAAAGGAAAGGCTCGGTCCAAGCAGAAGAGCAAATGGGTATGCCTATGCATTAAAACCTTCACTTGCTGGATTTCACATGGGTCGATTTAAATGATACTTGAAGCCTGGTTCGTTTTTCAAAAATTCCGGATCTGGATTGGAAAAAGAATCAGGCTGGTACAGACTGTCTCCAAAGTCAGAATTATGATCTCCAAGAAGAGAAAAGAACAAAGTGATTGTTTCACCTTTCACTGTGTTCACTGTTTTGCATCTTTTAGGACATATTCCTCTCTCCAAACAGCTCTAGGTCCTCAGTCAATCTCTTCTGATTCCAGGGTCCTCCAAGAGAACCCTCACTATCCGAATATGCTTAAATACTGCAAATGGGGAGACATTTTATCCATGGATGGTATCAATAAAGGCTGTTTTCTACATACCATTCAAGGATAAATGACAGGAATATGCTCAGATTTAATTTGCTTTCATCCTGAATACCAAAAATAAAGGTATTATATGGGTTCATGCTGGATCTCTCTACTTTAAAAAAATAACATATGTAGCAAAGAAAAACACTGGTATCTTTATGCCATAAGTTACTTCAGTTACTTTAATTTCTCACACTTTCCCCCTGAATAACCCCCTCATGCTCCAATATTAATATTTGTTGGAGACCAGAAAGACAAATACAAAATCCCTATAGTATGCTTGTTGTATTCTCTAGTGGAGGCTGTAATAAGTAAGAATCATTTAGTTTGTGGGGAGGTTTAATCACATCTCTGTGTGGTATTGTTTCAGCCCAGTTTGAGAATCTCTTCTTCCCATCAGCTACCTTATGAAGTTACCGTTTTATCAAAATTTCTTAAAATTTTGGATCATGGATCCCTTCCCATAATTTCTGGCCCCGAGTCTGGGTTGCAAACACAGATGGTGCTGTTGTTTTTAACGATATGCTTGTTGGGCTAAAGGAAACAGAAAAAGCACAGGATAATACTTTATATCTGAAATCATTCATCTTTAGGGATGAACTGGAAAGTGTTTTCTGGGGCATGAAGGAAGAATTCAGTCGAATACGTGCACTGGCAAGAGCACAGACGGACCAGCTGAATAAATGTAACCTAAGGAGAGAACCTACAACTGGTATCATTTTATTGCAGTACTTTCTTCTGAAAACTATGCTTTACTGCCTTCTAACTCTTTGCATCGACTGCGTAGAGATTCGGTTTAAGATTACCCATACCTTTTTGTTATGCAGAATGCCACATAATACAGTGCATTTATTTGATATGGCAATAACCCTTGGGTTTTGGGGGAAATACCAGGGCATATTCATTTATGGCATGTGATTTGACAGCTCACTTTGCTGTGAGTGCACGAATTCCATTTTGCAGTGGTTGTCTTGATGGGTTTACTGGCAAAATAAAGACTTTTGGTCACTCCAAAAATAGACTATGTAGAAGGAGAAAGGCAACAGTATCTGCGTTACCTCACTCCTTCCTAACCACCATATATTGCTAGCAAAAGCCTACTATGACCTCAGTTGGCATAAAGCCACTTAGATTTGGGAATTTGGTCAATTAGGTTTACAACCACATTCTAATGAATACATTTACATCTTTGCAGCAGACATGTTCACTGACTGTGGGAACTCTAAATTAAGATGTTTGGGCTAGAAAGTGAGGCCATTAATCCCCTTTGATGCAATACTGTATCAGTATTTGTTTGTTTGTTTGTCTGTTTCAATACACACTATAGTGAGATAATCTCAGTGCAACACAAGCCTCATGTGAGATTGTTCTGGTTATTTAAGCAGATATGAATTTGCATGTTGTTGCATGGTATATGGAAAGAAAGCATACTATACAGATTTGCTTTAATATATGTTTTATATACACCTCTATCAATCTAGCTATCACTTGTCATATCCAGAAGTATAATGTGATGGATGTAATCCACAGTCTAAGATACCTGATTTCTTTTTTAAAAAAATGAGTGGCACAAGAGGATTTATCTATAATTCACGTGTATTTCTAGGGATCGGGCTGCTGGTAACATTTTGAGCAGACTGAAAAAGCAGCAAACTATGACTTAATTTTCTTCTAGCGATAAGTCATTTAATGTAATGTGAATGTCTAAAAGCTACTGACATGCAAAGCATTTCAGGTTTGAGCAGATAAATACTCTATTTCAAGTTGAAAGCTATTTTGCAATCGAAACGGACTAATTTTGGAAGTATTTTGCATTCTGATAAGTCCGTTTTCGAGTTCAAAACACACTGTTTCAAGCTCAGAGCACTTCCGAGTGATTGAAAGAGCCTTTTTTAAAATGCAAACTTGTTTCAGGTTTTGAATTTAAAACAGTTGAAATTTGAAACATTTGCACACCCCCTACTGAAAGCCCTTTCCTCACCTCAGTTGTAAAAACCATCTTTGCTAGATCAAACCAAAATCTGTCTAATCTATGACAGCCAACAGGGGCCGATCAGATGCTACTGCAAAGTATATGTGCTTATAACCCAATTTTCGACATTCTTTGTTCTCTAATAATAGCTGCATCTGATTGCTAGGCTTGACTGATTTATAGCCAACTTCCAGAGCTTGGGCAGCTTACGAATAGCTGATGTAAGTGCTTCACAGTATAACATGCATTGGAAGAAGTTAAGTCTGGACAGAGCCAGTCATTTCCGTGAATAACTATAGGGCAAGCTAATTCAGACATGGCTTTTAACCTGCCAGAATTGTCTGTATTTTACTGGAGACAAACATGGGCTTAACTTAATTTAGTCTCTAGTAAGTGCAGATATGTAGCTCTTTTAGCAAATTCTTCAACATGGCTGAAATGATATGACCTGATGTGCTAAAAGGATGTCTTATAGTTTCTCGTTCAGTAGTATCTCTCTGAGCTAGGATTTAAAATCATGGAAGAAGGAATAGTTAGTGACCCTTTTCAATCCACTCTTCCTCCAAGGACTCCCCTCAAAGGGTCTCTGGAATGAAAGGGGGAAATTTTGAGCAAAAGGAGGAAGAAATGCCCCTTCTCTGTAGAGTGAAATAGCTGAAATCTGTGTTAGAGCACTGAAAGAAATGAGACTGGTTTGAATGAAACCAAGCTGAATTGAAAGAACAGATGTAGTTAGAGATAGAAAGGTAATTTAATTTAATATAGAAAATAAAGATATTTATATGTAAGTAATGAGCCCTCAGAAAAAAAGACCTGATAACTCTGTCTAATTGCTAGGCTACTAATCAAGAAAGCTTTAAAACTTTGACACATAAAAGCAATTGTGTAATATTTTACTTTAGTTCCAAGCAAGATTTCTAACATGTTTATCCCTGAAGAAAGGAATTAATGGTTTGACATGGAGGAACACTAGCATCGGCCTGCTGTGTCAAATGAGGCAATGAGGGGAATAATGCAGTTTCAAAAAAATATATGTTTAGAACCCAAAATCTACCATAGTGCATTAGGGGGAATTTTTTTATTTTATTTTATATTAGAAAACATATATATATATTATACATATATATAAAAATTTAACATATTTTTGGGTGGTGGAATTTGTCAGGAATTTGTATAACTGAACGTTATATTTTAATCTGGGATATCTTTTAATCTTTTCCTTTGCGTCTTTTTTTTACTAGAAATTCCTTTCTCCAAGCCTATCCAGTGCACTGATGAACAAACGGATGACCTTTGTAATCCATGGGTTAAAAAGGATACCAACAGAGATGTACCTCATTTCTCAACTATTGCGTCAAGAGGAATGGGACCAGACGAGGAAGAAAACTCTGTGGAATCCCTTTCTAAGCTTAATGTCAAGTTCCCACCTACAGATAGTGATACTGAATTCTTGGAGAGCTCCCCAGAGACTACTCCAATTCTAAATGCTCTGATGACTGAAAACATGCTCCCAAATCAGCCATTTAACATGGACCATGGGGACCAGGAGGTGAGTTTCAGTAAGATGAACTCTAACTGGAGGAGTACGAGCAAATGACTGTACTACTTCAGTGATGCAAAACAGGTCAAAGGTAAGTTTACCCAACCTTCAATTCACCCAAACATGTTCATCCAGACTCTTTTGAACAAACCTCCATGTTATATAAAAACACATTTCTTTTTAACTCTGGAACTAAAGACTATAATAGATAGAATATCTCCGAATTTAATTTTCCCTCTTCAGAAGCTAATGAGAAAATGTTGGGGGACCTCAGCTGGTATCAATCTTTTAAAATATATACTTTTATTTTTACTTATGATTGATCTGTAAGCTATAAAATTGAGTAGGGACTTCAGTTTCTTTCTGCTATATATTTCCAAGGCAAAACTTACTGCTTGCTGTTCTAATCAAAAATATCTGCATTAGTCCAGCAAAATAGGGTCTGTAGGCACCAACAAGCTCTGAAACATCTGCCTTGGTATCTGTCAAGCACTCTATCCACCTGATTTATTTTTACATTTGAAAAAAATGAAACCAGAAATTGGCATGCCTCCAAGTACCATCCTTTACCAATTTTTATTTATGCAAGTATTGTTGGGTCCACCAAGATCCCAATGAAGTAGTAAGACATTGCCTGCCTGGTGCTGATTTGCTTTCTGATAATGCATATTTTGTGCCTGGACCTGGCTAATTTACTGTGTAGGCAAGTCTCCCATAGCAGCCTTTTCAGGATCATATGCTCACAATGTACTCCCAATCTCCAAATATTTGCCTGCGCTTTTACTCAGTGTATAATAGCATGATATATTAGTATTCTAATGGTATTTAAAATTTTGCTATGAAACAAGAGCTAGTGTTCTCCACTCTAGTATTTATTTATTTAACTTATTTATTCAATTACTATAGCTGCCCATCTCAATCTTTTAACTCTTGCTGGCTTACAATCTATTACAATTAAAAATACTAAAAATATTTTAAAATAGTAAAAACACTAAAAAAATCACACGATGATAATGCATGTTTTTAAATTAAAATGGATGTTAATATTAGGAAAGTTTACCCATGATGCGTAAATCAGTGGTCCCCAACCTTTTTATCGCCGCGGCCCGCTGAGTGCGCACAGGGGTGGGGGCACGGCCCAGGAGCTTTTGCGCACGGCCCAGTGCGCAAAAGCGGCCGGGGGACATGAACGCTGCAGCGCAAAGGCTCCTGGGCCGTGCGCTGCAGCGTTCATGTCCCCCGGCCACTGCGCGGCCCGGTGCCAGGTACTCCACGGCCCGGCACCGGTCCGCAGACCGGGGGTTGGGGACCACTGGCGTAAATGATTGCAAATAAGTGGTTTCTTATTTGTTCTTAGTTTACTTAAGGGCCTCATGTTGCATGCATTCAGATGATTCAAATTTCTTTTTCTTGACCTGTTCAAGCAACTCTCTGGATATAGTCATGATGTATGCATGGAGTTGCTTTAAAACAGGCAGCAATAAGAAAACCTCATTTATTTTTTATTAATGTTTTATTCTTCATTCGTTCCTAGGACAGTCTTCCTCTACTTTATGTATTCAGATGTATAGGACTTCAGAGATGGCTCAGTGAAGCCCTATACATCTGGAAGTCTGATCACAGGAAGTCTGCTTTCGGAACTTAGTATGATATCCTTGATTTCCTCTCTTTCTCCCCATTTTTATTCTTCGATAGCCCAGTAGTAATGGGCAATGTTGCTTACAGATAGCCTGGTTTCAATCCTTGCAATCCCTAAAGGTAGATGCTGGAAAGTAATTTCTTTACAATGCACAGAAGATTTACAACTTTACTTCTGAAGTGACTCGAGATATTTAAACCTTTCAGATAACATCACAATGAGTCTTGATTCTCTATCCACTGGGTCAGATCTGATTGGTTTTCCCATGCTGCCCCACTTCTTTTCTGTCTCTGCACTGTCTTAGCGTACTGCTGTGCCATATTGTTGCTGCCCTGTTTCTATATACTGGTAGCAGATTGGGCTTCTATTAAGCTGCAAACCTAAACACGCCCCATAAAGAAATAGATCCTGTTGAATTTAATGCAGCTGCCATCTGAGTAAATTCACACCAGATTGTACTGTGCAGGGGTTCAGACACAATTTAAATATAATCACCACTTTTATGAACAGTAGCTTCTCATCTTTAAATTGTTAAAGATTACATACATACACCTTTACCTATTAGAGAATTTTACAACATTAACATTCCTAAAGTGTTTGAATTTTTCATACAGTAAGATGAAATTTTTACGATGCATGTTTATTTTATGGAGAATAAAAGCTGATGTAAGCATTTATCAGCTATGTTCTAGACAAGACATATTAATGTCATGTAAATACATGCAGTATAGATTTCTGAAGACTCCTTCAAGTTCTGGAATGTTTGTTCTAATATTGAGAGATGACTCCAATTTGTATAATTGACAGAGAATGGGTGTCCACGCAGTCTTGTAGAATCTATTTTCTTCAATCATAAAAGCACATAATAACCATGTCTACTCTCCTCTTACCAGTTTTCAAATGAGTATCAAAAGAAAACATCTAAAAGACAATGTCTTCCAGAACAAAACTCTCATGAAAATGAGAGTATTTTATCATACATAATTTATATACACACACATACATATACCAAACTGTTTGTTTCCTTCACTAGGTTTTAGTTTTTCACTTGCATTATTTGATAACTAACCAGTTTTTGCTTTTCATTGCATCAAATCCTGAGCTGAGTTGGTATAAAACAAATTAAACTATTTTTTTCTATTACTATGAAGATTCCTGTGGCGTTACAAAGCATCCGTTCTATTACTTCTTACTTTCCCTTTTCTCCAATATGTCTCCTGCTTGTTCTTTTAACTAGTTAGACTGTGTATTCATTTCTCAATAGATGGCACCCTGCATTGTATAGTAAAGCATGTGAAACAGCTGGTATGGGATTCTAAGCTGATAGAGAATTATGCAGTTTAAAGCAGACAGGCGAATAAAAGCTAAAGTGTCATAATTTTAAAGATATTAGGCTATTTTTTTTGTTTTTGAAAAATAAGCACATGCATTTTTAAATTCTGAATAGCCAGTACCGTACTATAATTCAGTGATAGCCAGGATGTCTTGATATCTTAAGTGTTTACATTTGGAAAGACAACTGGCGACAGAAAATAGTTCCAATATTTGTTAGTTGTATCCAGGAAGGAATGTAGAACATAAGGCCTTTGATTAAAATTATGTATCTTATCCAGAAACGTAGGCATAAGAAGCCAATGCTACTTTAGACTTCATTAAAGATACAGACACATATATTTGCTTAAGTATTCTGTTACTTTTCTTATCCTTAAATTCTTGCATTCCTTTCAAATATAAATTTGTTTTTATAATTTATTTTTAACTGATCAAAATTACCGCTCAATTATAGGCAGGAAAAGAAACTTAAATGCACGGCCCTTTTTAGCAACAGGAGGAAATGTAAAAGTTCAGTTTTGCTAAAAATAATAATGGCCCCAATTCCTTTAGCATGCTAACATGGCTCTAGCAAGCTGGCATTAAAGTGAAGGCAGGGTCCTTCACTTTAAAGACAAATAAAGTTGGCCTGATTTGAGATGCATTCAGTGAGACTGTGAGACTGTCCTCTCCTGATAAAAGTAGGTAGATTCACTCCCTGAGTCAGCTGAAGATAGCTTGAGGCACCTCATTATCTTGCCTGCAGAGTAAATGTAGACAGTATGAAAATGCATTTAAAATGTTTGGATCCTTGTATACAGGATTAACCTTGCTGACATCCTAATATTGCTGATTTACACACTTGATTCCCCCATCCTTTTTTTTTTCTTCAGCAGACAAGAATTTCTGTCATGTATTTAGTACATGTGTTAACAAGTAAAGATGAGGAGGGGAAACTTAAATGCAGCGTAATTGGCAACCATAAGTCGTTAGAACTGTGGCTCTCAGTTGATGTAATAAATTTAGCTCTTCCTTGCAGACTAAATATAAAAACTTGAGTCTGCTTTCTTGGTGTATTGCAGTTTCTTAAACACCTGGATTGAAAACTGTAATAATGAAAACAAGAATGTAGACTGAATTGAACAGTTAGGGATGTTGTGCATCTCTGTACTGTGGCTCATTTAGGGGTTTTTAGTTCAGAATGGATTGCTCCTTATTTTGAGGAAAGCAAATATAAAGGGCATGCCACACCTCTTAAATAAAGTACTTTAGCATATGCTTAGATGTATACCATTTAGAAGTATATATCCCAATACTTAAACAAATACATGGTGTTTAACCATCTGTATGAGCCACTCAGGCGGCCACTCAATTTCTCTAACTAAAAACTACGTTAGCAAGGAGCATGCATAAAGTAGGATACAGCAATTAAAATGCTAATTCGTTTGTTTTAACCAATGGGCTGCAAGTTAAGGGCACCTTTGTTTATCATTAATTCTCTTTGGATTCTTGTTTGCAACTGAAATAAACACATTAAAGTTTTTCCTTTTAACAAGAAGTGGTACCTAGTAGTTACTGAATTTTAATTGTCTTTTTTTAGTATTTCAAACATGTATGCATGTTGAAATTATGGAAATGAAAAAATGTATTTCATTAATCACTTAAAAGGCAACTAATTAATTGCAACATTAAAATTATTGCAAACATTCATAACAACATAACATAAAAAGGACACCATCAGCAGCAATCCAAAATAAAACCTACTCAGCTATCTTAATTTCTTCTACAGTGCAAATTTAATCCAAAGAAATCATTTCTTCGGCAATGTTATTTTCATTAGATCATGGGTGTCAAATTCTATTGTGTCACGTGACATATTGTGACGTATCACGATGTTTTTTGCCTTTGCAGAGTAGGGGTGGGCGTGGCCTGTGCAGGACGCATCCGGCCTGCGCGCCACCAGTTTGACAGGTCTGCATTAGATGTTAAGTGAAGTTGTTAAGGGGAGATTTTAAGAGAATTCTAGATGTCTAGTCAAAAGTAAGTTTGATTGTATTCAATGAAACCTATTCCTAAATAAATATAACTGCATATTAAATCAAGTTGCAACACAAAACTCAATTGAAGGTTAAACACAGCTTGTTTTTCATTATGGTTTGTTAAACAAACAACAGTGTTCTACTCTGTACAGAATACTAAGACATCATGGGTGAATTCACACATCATACTTACCCAAAAACCAAACAAATCACATTATGGCTTAGTGTCAAGTGTTAACCAGGCCAGTAAATAAAAATTCTCAAGAGAAGAGTTGGTGTGTATATGATCAAATATTACCAAAAAAGCATGAAATGCTTCCTGTTACAGTTATTAAAACTGCCAGTTTAAATGAAGGTGGAGTTGCAAATAAGTAATTAAAAGCACACTTCCATAGTGATACTTAAAACACGCATCAATGCTTAGACAGGTTTCCAAAGCAATTTACACCAACAAAAAAGTAGTGTTTGTTAGAACTTGATGTAATTATACCTAATTAGCCTAGAAGGATTGATGACTGACCACAGTACAAGATGTACAAGATAAATCTGCAAAGGCCCTGTGACAAATCTTAAATATTGTTTAGACAAAGCATTAACTCCTAAGAGAAACAGTAGCTGCTTCTCTGTTCTCCATCCCTTTTAAATTAACTACTTTATTTCAAAATTCACACATCAATAACATAGTTAGGAGTAGATATATACATATTTGTGTATATTGTGTTTAAATATCAAAGAAAACATGTAGATTCAAATGGCATGTTCTTACGTAATAACAAAGAACTTCTAGAAATATATCCTGGGTTTTGTGCCCTTGTCATTTTGTTATTGCAGTGTCACATTTTCAAAATACATATTATCTTTAAAAAGAACCCCCGTCTTGAAACACCAAATGAATATTTGCTTACCAAAATTATTCTGGCTCGTGTGCCATAATCAATGAACTCCTTAGTTAAGACTTGAATATTCATGTATTTCAGTTGTTTTAAAAGTATGAAGTGCTGATGATCAAAATTCTTACATAATGTGAATACCAGTACCTTAGCATTATAGCTACAGAAGTAAAATATGCCTATATTTATCATGCTAGAACTGCTGACCAAATGTGCTAGTTAATGATAATCAGTTCTAAAATTAAAAAGAAATAAAATATTTTATATGCTTCAGGCTTTAGATCAGTGTTTCTCAACTATAGCATTTAAAATATGTGGATTGCTTTAGAGAAAATCAAAGCTTATTATTTAGTAAAATGCTACATATTTAAGGAAACTAACCAGCACTAAACCACTGTCAGTGAGAACCAACACTGATTATACAGAAAGCATTCACTCCTTTTTCCCCGTTTCTTACAGCCTCCGTGGAACTCTTACTGCACTCAAGGCACTGACTTACTGGCACTTGCTTCTGAAGACTCGGAACTCAGTCAGTCAGGAATATGTGAATTCTGTCAGAAAGTGTTCCCACCATCTCTTACATCCAGGGAGGATTTTCTGAGGCATCTGAATTCACATTTCAACTTGAAGTCTTAGCATCACTGGAGAACAGACAAGTTTTATTTAATTTAATTGTAGATGCTGTCTTTGATCTTGGTCCCAACAGATATACAAATTTCAGAATATAAGGTGGCATTTATAACAATCTGTCAAGTTCATGCCCCACATTAATATAATTAAAATCAGATACAAAGCCCTACAATAAATATATTGAAACTCCTTTTGAATCAACATGTCTTGAGTTCAAACTGTAGTTGCAGAGGGATGCTGAATATTATGATCCAGTCCAATATGTAACAAATGAAAATTGGGATCGTGTTTTGTATATAGAACTGATAAGGGTGTATCATCGTTTGTATTTCTAAATAACATTTATTTATTAGTATTTTTTTTTAACATTTGGCATACCAGTTAAGAAGTACATGAAAATAAGTGCTATGCATTTTAGTGCTTGCAAGTACACACTGACCCTTATATTAGGCATTTACTTATGAACAATTTATTAAAGTAAATTTCTTGCTTATGTTGCCCCTTTTGTAATAAACCAATGACCCACATGTTTCACCTACTTATAAGTGGTATATTAATGTCAAAATAAAACATAAATGCATTTACATATAAGTATGCATGGAACATGTATGCAGGTATGAGTGCTTTATTCTGTGACCCTATATCTATTTATTTTATTCCTAGTCCAAAAAAAAAAAAAAGTTATTTGGAACAGAACTTTGTAATGCTGTTGACTTGGTAACAGAAAGTGACAATCAGCTACTATTTAAATACAGCAAATACTCTTACCTCTACTACAGTAAGACTAGAAGTAGGACTTTCCATACTTTAAAGAAAAAACCCTGCTATTCAAAGTCAGTGTGGCATGATAAATTTGGGTTGAGATTTAGTGTTTAGCTTCCTATATCTAACCTTGAACAGAATCATGGACTTCCATGAAGAAGGAAGGTGGCAATGGCTATGTTGCAACAGCCTTATCCTACAATGAATGTCCTGCTATGTGCTTAACTAAAGCCACTGAAGGCAAAGGATTCTGTCATCGGCAATTCAGTCTGTTGCATACAAGAATTTATAACCAATGCACAATGACATTTTCCTGATTGGACTGTCCCCCATAAAAAATATTTAATAAATATCCAGCTGACTTTGTTCAGACCGAAAGGTGAGGCAAAGCAGGGTTAAGTCTGGTTTGTACTTGGGAAGGGGACGTGCAGCCATATCTATGAAATTACTAGGAATCCAGCTCAACTCCACAAGCTTTTTCCTTTTTTTTTTTTATCTAAATGGCACTCAGATATTAAATATACAGGAAAAACTTTAGTTCCTTGGTAGGTGAAGTCCAAGTTTTGCACACAGTATCACTGAGATTCAGTCCCCATCATTACCAGAGCTGGAGACATGGAGAATCATTACAGACAATGCAGATAATATTGAGCAAAAGGGTAGTCCTCAACTTACGACCACAATTGAGCCCAACGTTTATGTTGCTAAGCGAGACATTTGTTCAGTGAATTTTGCCCGTTTTACTACTTTTCTTGCTATAGTTAAGTGAATCACTGGTTAAATTAGTAAAATGGTTGCTAAGTGAATATGTCTTCCCCCATTGACTTTGCTTATCAGAAGGTTGCAAAAGGTGATCACATGACCCTGGGACACCACAACCATCATGAGTCACTTGCCAAGCATCTAATTTTGATCACATGACCATGGGGACGTTGCAACAATCGCAAGGGTGAAAAATGATCATAGGTCACTTTTTCGTGCTGTTGTAACTTTGAACAGAATTGTTGTAAGCCAAGGACTACCTGTATCCGATTCTGTATAAGACCCCTTATATATAAGCACATAAATATAGGCAATTGTTCAAGCTTAGGAGAGGTGAACCAAAATTCCTTTCTCCTCTAATTGATTCCTCTTGCTACATTGTTCATAATGAAAGTTCCTAATAGTCTAGTCTAGTGGGGGGTTTTTTAATCTCAGCAACTTCAAAAAAGTATTATTTGGGGTATTCTGGGAGTTAAAGTCCACATCTTAAACTTACTAGTGTTGAGAAACACTGGTCTAGTCAGCCCTCAGTTACAAGTTTTCTTGTAAACTGAGGACTGACTAGGCCAGTGATTCCAGCCTAGGTTATTTTCATCTTTCTCTAAACTGACTGGTATTATGACTAATTTTAAAACTGGAAACAAGAAAAAAAAGGAAAGAATTAGATTAAGGCCTAGTCTAACAATTGTGGGATATGATAGATGAAGTTTGAAACTTCTAGATCAGCGGCCTCCAACCTTTTGGGCCCTAGGGACCAGTTCCGTGGAGAAAGTGTTTTCCGCAGACTGGAGAGGACGTGGTTTTGCATGCTGCCTGCGTCCCGCAGATGGGGCTTCACTTGTTTGCGCAGACTGGTTGCTGGCATGCTGCGGAGCAGTGCCACTCCACGGACCAGGGGTTGGGGGTCCTGCTCTAGATCTTGAACTACAACTTCCAAAAGTTTCAGGCCAGCGTGACCAACAGTGAAGAATCCAATTATGGATCAGCAACATCTGAGATTCCCTACTTCTGAATTAAGAGGAAACTGTACTTTAGTGGTAGAGTCACAAAGGCCTAAAGTCAAGTCCACAATCTCCAGTTTAAAACAAGATTAGTCATTTATACAGTGTTAGTCATTTATTACAGTAATCCAGTAATTCCAGTATTTTTCAGGAAGCTTTACAAAATGGATAAATGCAGCCTATTGAATTTTTATTGCAGATGTAAAAATTTATACAGTGATCAGTTTTAATAAAGTGTCAATATAGTAGAACCTCTGGTCACAATCATAATTCGTTCCATAATTTTGGTCACAACCCAATTTGGTCGTGACCTGAACCTAATTTTGTAAATTTGGTGCTTACAAAAAAAATGGCACAGAAGGGGAAATTGGCAGCAGGGAAAAAAAATTGTGAATTTTTTGGTCGGAACCCAATTTGGTCGTGGTCAGAAGTGTTCATGACCAGATATTCTACTTATATGCAATTAAAGGATTTTTTTTTTACTTTCTCAAAATGTCTTGTGCAATAGAAATGTGACCATGTCCAGGTTATAACTTGGCTGGGGGAGTGATGCCTTGCACAATTTGTTACTCATTTGGTCATGCAAACATCTTTTACAATTTTGGTTACAACCTCTAAGATATCCTTGACAAGCTGTTAACTACCTTTGTGCTAAAATAAATATTCTACAAATTTTACTTGTAGTGTGCTCCAGAATATTTTTGGTTTTTCAAACTTTTTACAAATGTATATATGACAGGAACAGAGAGACCTCTTCAGTCCTGCCTGCTTATGCTGCTTTGGAGGATGTATTTGGGAAAGAAAAGTCATGGCATGGCTTGAAAATAACATCTGATCCTAAAGTTATGAATATATAATAGGAATATACATGTTTAATGTATGTTATGTAATCCTTCAATCTACAGAATTCTTCTGCATTAACAAAAACAATCAAACTGGACAATTGAAAAATGAGAGGGAGCTGCTAGTTTGTTGAAAGGGACTTCTAGAATATAAATTGAGAGCAAATCCCATTCCCTACTTGCACTGATGATGTTACCTAGTTTGGGTAATGAAACCTCTGCAAGAAAACAACCAAGTCTAGAGAGCACCAAAGACCTGTCATTTCAACCCTGAGCTACATTGTCCTTTATTAAAAGGGACCTCTAGTTTGCACAAGTAAACACAAGGTCTCAATATGCACCCATTGCATCTGATTTTGGGAATTACAGAAAGATAAACAAATCATTTACATTACAACCTCACTAATATACTTTAAGAATAATTCACCTGTCTAGAAATAACTGCTTATTCAACCCATCAGATTTTACTTGTATGTCGCCCTAAATTTGTTTGACACTAACTTTGTTCCTTAAAGGGTAAAGAAATCCTGTTCTGGAATTCTAGGGTAGAATATAGTTTATAGATAAGGCAATCATCAATGATTTTCAGCCTGTGGAGGACCACAGATGCAAAGTCAGAGAGTATATTGTATATTAACCTCTCGGTATCTCCCATGTTAAGTGGAGGCTATTGTCTTGAAAGCAAAATTCTGCCAAGGCCTGCCTAACAGGATGTCACTGTATACCCTGATTTGCCCATTGCAGAAAGCAACTACTTGTAAGCAAAAAACCCACATCGGGACTTGGGAGTATATGGCATTCTGCCCTCCCGGATTACGCTATGATATTTAGCTAGGGGTGGGTAGGAAACAATGAAGAATAAACGTGTTCCTCCCGGAGCTTTGGGGGAGGGCGAAGCAGCCATCCCCGTCTGTTACCAAAGGAACCTCAGGCGGTAAAATGGAATAAACGCGGCCTTAGCTCAGCAGAAATGAGTGGATTCAACAAGAGGCCCGGCTTGTTTTTAACGCGCAGTAATGGAAGGAAGCAGAAGTTGAGGAAAAATGAGAAGTCCCTCCTATATTACCCCACCTCGGATAAGGCGCTATTGCCATTCTCTCCCTCCCCGTAACTGCATAAATAATCTACGGAAGGGCTCGTTTTCCACGCTCCGGCAGGCGAGCTTGGGGAGGGGAGGGTAGCGGGGAGCAAGTTCCAACAAAACGCAGCAACCGGAGAAAGGCACCGACGGGCGAGGAAGCTCGTCCGGGGGAGCCACGTGCGGCTTTTGCCTTGGATTCCTCTCCTCCGCGCTCGTCGCCTACGCACCGCCGCGCACCTTTCTTCCCTGGCTCTCTCCCGGCTACCTCGCCAGCTGCTTCTTGCAATGCCGTTCCCGTAATTAGGCTGTCACCGCTCGTTAGAGGCGAGCGGGAAAACGCTCTTGTGACAGATTCCACTAGTTCATCGAGGGGGTGCGATTTTTCGAAGGGAAATTTAGTATATTAATTTGAGGTCTCAGCTCTGTCCTTTTCTGGAGGTTCCCTCCGTAGTTTGTTTATCGCCACACTCAGCTAGACTTTCTTTCCCTTCGCCTTCCAGCCCGCCAAGAAGCGCCAGATCTGAGCCAATCCACCATTGCAGCTTGGCCGGAGCCGCGGGGCCTCCCTTGCAATGATCTGCCGTCAGCTGAAGGGGGCGTGCTAGAACTGCCACCCACACCGGCCCGGGAATGGTCGCCAGGGGAAGCCGGCGACCGACTTGAAGCGCTTCCTTTCGCCCGCGGCGGAGCTCAGGCGTTCTCTCCTCTGCCGCCCCCACCCCCACTTACTAACCCACCTATTTGTCGGAAGCTTTAGTAGGCTCGCATTTCCTCCCCCCCCCCGTCTTCCTCCCTTTGCAATTCATGCAAGGTTAACTCAACAGAGAAGACTCAATCCAAATGGCAACTGGCATTGCATTTATTAAAAAAGAAAAGAAAAGGGAAAAAAAATCTGAAGGAAAAGAGGGAGCGCGGGGTGGGGTGGGGAGGGAGATCAGAAACGGAGAAAGAAAAGAGAAAAAGCAGCAGGCTGATTACGAGGTGTCAAAACTGCCAGGAGCAAGAAGGTGATAGCAATCAGGGGTGAGAAGAGTGCGCCATTCGTGCGGGGCAGCTAATTATCCGTCTCATTTGAGGCAGCAGCGTTCGAAGCAGCAGCGTTCGCCTGCTGAACGGTGACAGATTGGCGCGGAGGAGAGGGGAGGTGTTAAAACAATGGAGCCGGGCTCGGGAGCGCTGCTGCATGCTAATCAGCCGGGCCTCCTTCCTTCCTTCCTTCCTTTTCGCTGGGCTCGATGCGATCCCGCCTTCCCTACTACTCCTGCGCCGGAGAGTGAAGCTCATCGCCGACGCTTCCGCGCTCAGGCGCGTCCCTCACATATGCCCACGCTCGCTTCCACGAATCGGGGGGACACGGGCCTCGCTTCTCCAAAACCCATTTGGGGGGGATCCCCCGTTGCCTTTAACCCAGCCGTCGCTACCAGCGTCCCTAATTACGCGAGGGGGAAAGGGGGGCAAGAAGGCCCCCGGAGGGGGGGGAGCGAGCGTTTAATGGCTTGGGTGATCATCCACAGACCAATTAGGCCGACTTTCAACCGGCTGGCGCCCCGTTATTTACTGAGCACGTTATTTAACTAGGGAAAGAAGCAAGCCTGGTTTGACATCCTTGCGTGCGGCCGAGTCAAGAATTCCTGCTTTTTGAGCCTTTTTTTTTTTTTTTTTTCTTTTGATGGGGCGATTGCGACCTGGACTGGCTAAAATCAACAGCTGGGGCTATTGGGTGGGAACTTGGCCCCAAGGGCAAGATGCACCTTTTGATGCAAGCAGTTTTGGACGAATTGGTGTGTAAGATGTTAATATCTGCCTTTGAACTTCATTTGGGATGGAGTCCTTTACCCTCTGTTTCACAGAAAACCTGGCTTTGAAGAGCAACCTGTGTATTTTTAAAACAAGTAAAACTCAACTTGGCTCACTTCCAAATAAAAGATTCATAGGATTGATTTTACTAATGAATTATTTGTTTCTGTCCTGGTTTGCACTCAGCAGGTCCCTCACGTTTCTCAAAATGTCTTAAATAATCCATCTTGGAGTAAAATAAAAAACACAACTGGCCAATTTAAATCAATTCAAAATCCAAGAAACCACTACTGTTTCCCACACCAAATATAAGACTCGTTTTCCTCCATTATAACTAACAGTACAAATCCTATTCAATTGGATTTGCTTCTGAATAAATTGCCTAAACTAGTACTGTAAGTATGAACCTTTGCTCCAGGCCATGGCAGAAATGCCTTTGTGAAAATGAAATTAATTTAGCAGATAGCATCACTTTCTTTTCTTGTGAATGTTTGGGAACAAATTCTTCGGGAACCAATTCTTGATGTAGATGTTTCTCTTCAAATTATTGATTACTGGTTATAATACATTAACCCTATGATTGAGTTAAGACAGCCCTAAAGTATCCATATTTTGGCCTATACAGTTATATGAATCCAACTATAAGATGATGGAATACATCGGTTTTAACTTTTCCCCATTAGCATTATTGCTTATAACATTATTAGCATTTGTACATGCTGTCCCTACCGTATCTTATTTCAGCTTTAGAAACTATTTCTACTGTTTTGAGTTTGACAACAAAGGGCCAGTGGCTTAAAAAAAACAATCAACCCTTGTGCCAATAAAACAAGCTGCTACAATAGAATTCACCAGATTGTACCTTCTATTTTGTGTTGATACAAGTAGCCTTTACAACCATTCATTTAGTGATCATTTGAAGTTACCACAGCACTGAAAAAGTGACTTATGACCATTCTTTACATGACCACTGCAGCATCCCCATGGTCATGTGATCAAATTTGGATGCTTGGCAACTGGCTTGTATTTATAAGAGTTGCAGTGCCCCAGGGTCATGTGATCACCTTTTGCAACCTTCTGATGAGCAAAATCAATGGGGAAACCAGATTCACTTAACTGTCTTACTAACGTAACTGCAGTGATTCACTTAACAACTGTGGCAAGAAAGATCATAAAATGGGTCAAAACTCACTTAACGACAGTCTTGCTTAATAATGGAAATTATGGGCTCAATTGTGGTCATAAATTGAGGACTACCTGTTGTACCTAGTTATTCAAATCCACAATTGTCATGCTCTCTGAAGTTCTAACTTTTTTAGGCCAGTGACATGAGTAAAGCATTCTCCCTGTCACATAGGGGAGAAGCTGACCACACCTTTCCAAATGACTTCCCTTTCCTAAAAAGACTAGTGAAGCTCTATGGAATGATGTACACTGTGTTGTGTGGAAGGACCTTGTTAAGTTAAGCAGGAATAACTAGTTGCTTTCTAGAGAATAAGACTGTCCACATTCTGACACAGATCAGCATTATATCATCAAATGAAAACATTGGAAGTGCTAGCATATTCTGGTGCTGATGGAAAACTTTGGGAAAGGTTGCATTATGCAATCTGTAGACCACAGACTGGTTCTGACAACATTCTGAATTAAATTGACTGTGACCATTTTGTGGTTGAGTGTGTTGCACAAACTCAACAAAAGGATTATGTCTGTGGCAGTGGTAAGTAGGATTTCTCTCCATTGAGAACTACAAGGCCCACTGCTACTTTCATTATAGTTTCGAACTTCAGACCACACATAATTGCCCATATCACTTAACAGAAGTGTAAAGAGTCTTTTGCATACTGAAAGTGCAGCATTCCCAGAAGCATCTGGCAGTAAAAAGTAAAAAAAAATCCAGTCAGAACTATTTGGTTGACTATGTACACAGAATAATAGTTATTTGAACAACAGCTAA